TGTTGTGCAATGAGAGCAAAGGGTGGGTGTGCCCTTGCCCTTCCTGCTACAAGACAGTTGATCTTAACTTCCACATGAGTTAAAATGAGTGAGTGTTGTCAGTTTTCAAACAGAATTAATTGTTGTTGCTAAAGGGATATATAATATAAATTAAATGACCATACCATGTCTCTTTTTGTGATTACTTTCCCTTTTTAATTTCTATTTTCTCCATGTAATGTCATCAACATTTTTCTTAAATGATGCTGTATTCACAGAAAAGACAAACATGTTGTGTGCAAAAAAACCTGGTGATTATGTTTGAAGTTGTTTATCTGGCTTCTACCTTCTACACCACTTTCTTGCTAGAACTGAGAAGCAGTCTCAGTGCCAAAAATGTGGTTTATTTTTTTTTCTTAATTTTGTGTGTTAGAAAGCCAAAATTTAAAAAGTTCTTGGCAAAGAGACAGGAATTTGGGAAAGTAAGACAGAAGGGGATCGCTTCATCTGTATCTAAATGCAGATTTGATTTCTTCAATAATCATGCATTCTATATTGTTCACAGACACTAATATTTTTTCAATATTATACTTTTAATGCCCATACATTACCTTGGCATGTGTGCCTGCTTTGTGTGACTTTCTGTAGATTTCTGAAGCAACCACTTGTCTTATGACATGCTTATTTAAAGGGCTTTATTACTTCAATGTTAAGTACAGAGATTTCTCAAGCGATAAACAAGAAATTAACTGTTGGGGATTAATCTGTAGTGAGAGAATATTCTCATTTTTAAACCTTTGAAATTATACATTTGAAGTGGTATGGCTAAAGACCCTGGCTCAGGACACTTCCTTCAACAGCTACCTGTTACCTCAAATGCTCCTGCCATCTCTGCCCCTCCCCAAAAAGAAACCCCGTAAGTTGAAAACAATCCTTTGAAGGCTGTGAATGCTGCATATTATTCAATAATGAGAATTTTGTATGTCCTGCATGTTTTAGTGAAATGTCTTCTTTGAGTCGTGATTTTCAATCTCATTAACCTGGTTCTTGATGGTTGACTTAAAAAGAACCATTGAATTACTGCAGTGTAGTGTGGCTGGGGTGAAATTAACTTTCAGGTGCATTGTTGATAAAAATGTCAACAGAGAATTGTATGTAGACATCTTCTGTTGTAGATGTTAATGATTGTGGTTAGAGCAATGTATGGAATCTTATCCTTTAGAAGCTATGGCTTAAAATATTACCTGTATTAGGAACATAAAATAATTCTATTGAATGAAATAATCTGTTAATCAGTACCAGAATCGCATCTCTTACAGCTAGTAGTTTTCATCTCCAAAACATCATCCTTATCTCAGACTTTGTTACCTATTCCTACTTATTACTTGGATAATTGATTCAGCCATTTTTTTCATTGAGTCTTCATTATGTCAGACATCCACTCTAAGATATGTATGGACTTGGTATAGGTTTTTTTTTTTTTGTTCAAACAAATAACTTTGTGGTACCAAGTAACGTATCTGCAAAAGTCACATTCTGAATGTGCTAAATCTTTTCATACAGCGGTAAGAATTATTTACATTCTTTACAGAAACACAAAAATTCTTTTGAATTACTGTATGAACTCTAATACCTGTAATGTTATTACAGGTATTAATTATCTAATTATTACAGTATTAATTATGTAATACCTGTAATATTATTACTAGATCTACTGTAATATTATACTAGATCAACATCATTTAATTTTATGTGATGTGTAGTGTTTCTGATGTGCTAATATAGTGGTCCCTGAATGGGGCAAAGCAGGGAGAAGTAAGTGTGTCCAATCTGAGATTTGTCTGCTAAGAAAAACAGCTGAAAGTAGTGTTGCTTTTTTTTTCCAGTGAGTGGTGATCTTGTGTTTCAGTTACTTTGCATGTGAGGCTCTGCCCATACAGCTGCTTTAGTTACAGATATAAGGCAGAGGCCAAGAAAATGTGTTTTCTATTTTCAGTGAAGAAAATAAATTAGGAATATTTCTTGGTTTCACGTACTTTATCTGCACTTTAACATAAAAGGCAAACTTGAAATTTAAAAGTTATTTAATTTGAAGTCATGACAGTTTTACGAATAGTATCTCTTGGAATTTTTTTCACATTGTCACATGGAACCTTTGAAGTTAGTGCAACAAATAGAACAGAGTGTTCTGTTACAATATTTACTTTGCACTTTTTAGTATTTTTTACTGCATTTTATTGCTATTTCACATTCTTAGGTGTAATTAAGCAAGGTTCCCTTCTTGTTTTATTGAGTTATTTAATACAGAAACAAAGAGGGAATGGTGGAAGTTTTTTGAAAGGGCAAATATGTTGTAAAGGCTTTATGAAGAAGTGGCAAGCCTAAGCATATATGTTTAGTACTCTTCTGAAACTGGACATTTTTCAGTTAGGTTGACAAATACCATTTCGATTCAGTTTTGGATAGACATAAAGCTGAGGGACCAAGATTAAAAAATATGTCAGTTCAGGTTAAGGTTTGAATAAAATAAGGTTAATGTTGGAGTATTTTGGGAAAACTACTGTAGCAATGAAAGATGGCCCCCTGTGGTATTACAGCTGTGGGTTAAAGCTGTGAGTGTTTTATAAAAGCAAGTTGTAGAGCACAAACATCGCGTCTTGCATAATGTTAGCAAAGGTAGTAAGAAATCTTTTAAATACAGTGTTTATAGTCATATGTTGGTTATTCTTCTGAAAAACAATAATTCCTATTATTGGTTTTAAATAATGAGTGAGGAGGGATGCTTTTTTTCCTTATACATGTACTTGTTACCTATGCTACCTTTGGAGGTAAAAGGACATATCTTTTGAGTTAAAGGTGGCTGGCTTTGTAAATGAGGCATAGGAAATCTGCATATCCCCTACATAAGGGCCTTAGGAATGACATCTGCAATCCAGTGAATGACATTTGCAATGCAGTGAATGACATTTGCATCTAGAAATTCATATTTATGTATCTATAATGCACTGGTTCTTTGTATTGCATAGTTTGGGAAGTAAAAGGACACATTTTTCACTTGGTGATGGTATCTTTTTTCTTTTCTCCTTCCCCCAGAATTAGCATAATGGTAACACAGTTTTATCCTCTTGTACATGTAATTGAATATTTTTGTCATCTCATAACTCATTAAGTTAATGTTTTCCTTAATTAAAGAGGTTCAGCCTTCTTTTCCTGCTGATATAACTGTTGCAGTTTCTATAGTACACATCATCTTTAGCCCACATTAATGAAAATTCATACACACATCCTTTCTTAAATAATTCTAGTTAGGAATAGAAAATGTAAAAAAATAAAAATAAAAATAAACCCAAAACATGTTCCAAATAGCTCTTTCCTGATAAAGCAACATAGTTCAATACAAACAAAAGCTGTTGAACATAATGCATCAAGAATGTAACACCCATATGCCTATGCAGAACAATAAGCATATTCTTAACTTAAGCATTTACATTTTCAAGTACAATATCTTTATTAACCATTCAGTGTCTGAAGCAACAAAATGCAGACCCTTAGTGAGTTCAGAAACGACACCAGACTAGTGCTGACTAGTGCAGCTGAAGGGATTGAGGGAAGGGACACCATCCAGAGGCACCTTGATAGACTTGAGAAGTGATTCCATGGGAAACTCATGAAGTTCAACAACGCCAAGTGCACCTGTTCTTGCATCTAGGTTAGAGCAATCCAGGATCAGTACATCCTGGAGGGTGAATGGTTTTGAGAGCAGCCCTGTGGATGAGGACTTGGGGACCCTGGTAGATAAAAAGTGAGATGTGAGCTGGCAATGTGTACTGGCAGCCCAGAAAACCAATTTCATCATATATGAAGAAGCATTGCCAGGAGGTCAAGGGGTGTGATTCTCCTCCTTTGCTGTGTTTTTGTGAGACTGCTCTTGGAGTCTGTGTCCACCTCTGGGGGCCCTGGCATAGGAAAGACAGAACATTTGGTGTGAGTCCAGAGAAGGGCACAAAAACAATCAGAGGGCTGGAGTGCCTCTTCCATGAGGAAGGACTTGAGACACTTGGGGTTTTTCATCTCAAAGAGAAGGAGTTATCAGGGCAACATTATTGTGGCCCAAACCATACTTTTATTCTAAAAAATCAAATATTTAAAATTTTTTTTGTTTGAATCTATTCTGCATTTTCAGAATAAGAAATGCAGAATTCCAAGTGGTAGCTATTTGGAATAACTTCCAATAAAAGCAATCTTTTTTACTGTGACCTAAGATTTTGTCTTAAAGCAGGGATTATACGAATTAAAATTATGATGCAGTCACAAAGAAGCAAAGATATTCTTCAACTGGCTTTTGGAATATGCTGTCTAATCTCACATTTTTTAACTTTTTTTCATTATCAGTTATATCTGTGGTTATTTATTACATTATTAGTCTTCTTTGATTACATTTATCAGAGAAGACTGTTTTTAATGGCAGATTAAATTATTTTTTTCTGAAAGAAGGTGGTTTTGGAAGATCTCCCACTCCTAGGTACAAACCATGTCTGTTAGATTCTCATCTCAGCACTTTATTACAGTGTCTGTGTATGAGGAAAACTCAGCTGCAAGGTGCTATTTCTATCCTTCTCTTCATCAGTGCTAGTTTGTGACCAAACTAGTTATTTTGTCTTCTAAAATTAAATTGGGAATAAAATGAATTGTACAGATCTCATTAAAGTAATTATTTTGGCTTTTTAGGTTTAATTAGCATGTTACAGGTAAGCACATGCCACCTGAAATTCATTGAAAAGTGGTAATCCTCTAGCTGGACTCCCAATTTATATTTTGTTTTTTCCTGTAATACTGTTAGTTACTTTTCCTTTAGGGCTAAATCAAAGAGAAACATAGCTTTTTGTAAACCACCTAAGCTATTTGCTTGTCTTCAAGTTCTAATGATTTTTCCGTGTCAGAACAGTACTATCACTGAATATGAATATTACAAATAAAACCAAACACATTTAGTGAAGAAGTATTTCTTACATTTATTTCAGGCAGATGCTCTGAACAGAACCAGGACAAACTATGGCTTGTCTTACAATGACAAATATGGAAAGTACAGCAACTTCTACTGTCCGCCAGAATGGTGACATCCGTGGAAATAGCAGTGCACCCAAGCAGACGGAACCTTTGCTTCAAGTGTACCTTTATCATTCTCCTGGGAAGACAGAAGGAGATTACCTTCAATTTTCAGCTGGAGAGCATGTTGCAGAAGAGATTTGTGCTGTTGCCTGTAAAGCCTGTGGTGAGTAATTACCTAACAGTTTATCTAATGAAGCAGTGAAATCCAACTTCATACAAGAAAGTTTCCAACAATCCAAAGCTCATCAAAATCATGGCATTTAGTCTGAAATGCTAATTTCTCTGTTCTTTCAGATGTAATTAGCACCAGACTGTAAAACTGTTCTGTTAGAATGGTTGTGAAGCTGAACTCGGTGACTGCCATATTTTTTCAAATAATTTAAGGGTATACCATCCTGTAACTGAAAGTCTTCTTTCATTGAGCTAAGATACAGTTCAAGTAGCTAAATCGTAGCAGGAGCTGTAATAGCTTGAATTACTTCCTCATGCAGCCCTGCAAAACAGATTGGTCCTGGAAGTTGTGCCTGTGTTGTATATTATATATGCTTAATCACTTTGCAGAAGGAAACTGTTCTGTTAGATATAAAATTAATTCTTGTGTGTGTGGCTGATGCTCTTCATAATGATTTAGGAAATCGTGTGTAAATAAAATGGTGGTATATTATAGAAAAAATAATACATTGATATCTAAGAGTGCCTTTGAATTCCTGCATTTACCCAGAGTCTAACAGACACCGGGGCTGAAATCTGTAGTAAAATAATTCAAGCAAGCATTTTGTGCATGCATCTTTCTTTGCAAAAGTACATTGGATTTTTTAATAAAACAAATTCATTCCTATAATCTCTGGGTATGAAAGTGACCATCTTTTTGTTCTTTTTTCTCTTTCATAGCAACCATTAGTGCTTAAATCATGAGGCATGAGGCATTGTTTCTTTTTTTTTTTTTTTTTTTTTTTGGTTTTTTTTTTTTTTTTTTTTTTTTTTTTTTTTTTTTTCTGGGAGGATTTTTTGATTGTACAGCAGAGCACATATGACTCCATACAGTCAAATAATGTTTGTGTTTGCAAGACTCATCTTTCAGGAGTAAGCTATGAGTCAGAATTCTTGGTTAAGAAGGGAGTGATTTGAGTAGTAAGCAGGACAGAAATATAAGAAATTTCTTATTTGTTAATGAATTTTGTGGTCTGAACAACTGATAGATCTTTTGATAGCAGAACAGATTATATCCAAGTATGACTGCTGTTGGAGGCAAAGCAGGACTGTATCTAGGCAAGCATCAGCAGTCAGAGAAGGTCTTGTTATGTATCTTTTAAGTAGTTCAAACAATTGAAAATTTTCCAATCCCTGCTAACTTGACATTAGATCTGTTATATCTGGTATGTATTGTCTATAAAAATATTAGTCTGTCTAAATATTTTTCTGCCAGTTTGATGCATGCATGCAAAAGCTCAGTTTTTTTTAACTTTATTTAAAAACTGTTTTCTGGTTTGGGAGAAATATAATAAATATAAATACTTTTGTGGGTTTGTATTTTTAGAAGGAAAACTATACATAAATTGACTGTCACATTTTCCAAGCAGAAATGCAAAACTAAATGTTTTGAAATTAAATTTAAATTGATGAGGTAGTCATGGTTCAGTTCTCACATGTTAGCTAGTTAATTGCCAAGTAGAATATTAGAAATGTCACACCAAATTGGAAAAAAAGGATTGTTCTCAGCCTGAGGGGGAAAATGGTGTTAGAGGAACTAACTGATGATGGAAATGAAGTATATTAGAGAAATTGTTCTAGATGTTGCAGAATATTTGTGTTAGGTGTATCTTCGTTTTAATTCTCACCCACCTGAATTGCAATTGTGTTGGAATTTCCATGGTACAACCCTTGAAAACTGCTGGTCTCTTGGAAAACCATAAAATGGCAGAGAGTTTTTAATTATAAGTAAAAAAACCCACTGTTTCAAAGCATTAATGTGACAAATGGTGGCAGAGTTTGCAGTCAATTAAATGTTTTCAAGAGGGAGAGTGGATTGCATAGTGTTATGATTTGTAGTATGTCTTTGCTTTTATGCTCCAGAAGAGATTCCATGCTGCTAACAAGGGAATTCTAGGCATATTTTTCCTAACATGCTGAATTTCCAGAACTGAATTGACTGAGGATTCACACAGCTCAGAGTTGTCATTGAGTATAACTGTTCACTGAGGGTTGGTTTTCTTGTTTGGTGGTTTTGTTTGGTTGTTTTTTTTTTTTTTTTTTTTCCTGTGTGTGTTTGCTTGGTTTTGTGAGGTCGTGTTGTTGTTTGGTTTTTCTTTGTTTGTCTTCCTTTAGATGATAGCCTTTCCTGAAAATCCACCCAGAACGTGCAGCCCCCCTGCACTCCCCCACTAACTGGTGAATGAATTAATCAGATCTCTGGGCAATTCTGTTTTTCCAGGAAAAGAAATAGAAGCTTTGATTGACTATTCAGAAACCATTTTGTTGACAGGACAGTGACATTGAATGTGATGTTAAGGGTTTTGTAAGCCTCCAGTTTGTTTGAATGATAATGCAAGATACTATTTTTATGTCAGAAAAGACAAGCAAATTATCATCTGGTATATGCAAGTCTACATAAGTTTTAAATAGTTTACTTCCAACTGGATGAGAACTAATGTATGTATTAGAATTTTATATAGAAAATTTGAGATTTTTATTATTATTCAATTAATTGCTTTCATCTTTTTATATCTAATTACTTAAATGCTTGAGTTGAGAGTTTCATACAACAATATTTCTATTGCAGACTTGCATAGTTTTCACATTTCATAGTGTTGTCATGGCTTGTTGCGATTTACACTTCCTGTTTTTTATTTTTTCTTAGAAGAGGGACATTACCTTATGAAAGTATATTCTGTGGGAGAAAGGGTTCCTAATGCCAACAAGGGAGGAGATACAGAAAAACTGTAATTTCTTAGGGGCTTCAGGATAAATGACGTAGTGAGACTTGCCTGGAAGTGAAGCTCTAATATCATAATGAGGAAAAAAAGAACCTACTTTTTTTTAGGACTGAAACAGAAGTTTGAAGTCTAAACTTATGCTGTGTTGTAATCTTTCATGATGTTACTTGACTATAGCCAAGTATATATGCTATATATCATACAGTACGTATATACTATATATATGTGTATATATATATATATATATATATATATACACACACACACACACTCCTTTCTTCAGCGTTATGCAACAAATAAATAAATTTTAAAGAGATCTTGTCATTGCAATATTCCAGAAAATTTATTTGGTAGTCCTTGCTGGAGAAGCAAAGCAGTGAAAATTCTGATTAAGTATGTCTGAGTCACTGTCTTCTCCTAATTCCTCACTGATTGAGCTGATAGCATGGTTGCGCAGACATACAATGCAAAAATCCAGGGGAGGCTTTTCAGTACCTGTTATGAATGGCTTTTATGATTTTTACATTCACTTACATTTATATTTCTCCTGAGTTTTCGCTATTGTTGAGATATCTAGGCTTCAGCAGAAGACTTTTATTCCCCCCTCCAATTTTTCGATTTTCATTGTTTCTAGGGAATACATTTAAATACTGCAGTTATCTTCAGTTGAAAAGGCCCTGCAGTTAATATTGATGGTAAGAATTTAATGAAAAGAGAAGTTTCTGGCCTCTGCTTTTGTCAGTTTTTTGTGGACAATTTTCAAGACTCGATTTAATGAAGGGATTTGTTCTGTATTATAATTGTTGAGCATTAAGTGTAGCAAAGCAAATTAATAGTTCTAAAGGGGAAGGGATGAAAATGTGAAACTTCTTTTCTTGAAAAATATGCATGATCTCTGTGTCCTTAAATAATGCCAGTGAATGGTGCAAGTTACCATTCAGAACTATAAATGCCAAATTATGAGGGAGGGAAGAGTGCACAGTTTACTTTTCATGCAAAAGAAGACAGTGGCCAGGGGAGGGCTTAATATAAGTACTTCTGATTTGTAGGGGGGGGTACCTTGGTCACATCTTGGTTGAAGTTTCAGAATGGCAATGATAGCGAAATACCTGTGGGGTTTTTTGAGATGTGGGGTGGCATGGTGATTGTGGTGTCTGTAATGTATTTGGTCAAATACAGCAGCTTAGCATTTGAATTTAAGAATATGGTTTTGAAATGTTGTTCAGTAAGCGTACCTGGGATAGTTAGTAGTTTGGGTAATTGTATTAGGGAGACTAGGTAGGTCTCACTAGCTATATAGTAAATTTTCAGCATTGCCCTGAATGGTGTTTAGCATCTAGCAACAGTCTTGATTCTCATGTGATTAGTGATTCTCATGTACATTACACTGTAATTGATCTGAAATTGTTAGGCATACAGACACGACACAGCTATAAAACTGTTAAGGTACTAACTACTAAATTACTGCTTTATGGACAGCTGATATATAGTATAGTATAGTTCATCCCACTTTACAATCAAATGAGAACCATATATGTTTAGGTGTTTAGGTGTATGGATTTGAACTCCATTAAAAAATCCTCAAAACTTGGATGGATCAAATATGTCATATTTGCACCATAAATTTGTAGCATTTAGAATTGCAGCCAATCTTTCAGTTACTTATCCCTTCAGTTTTATTCCTGTGGGGGATTTCTTTCATTTTGGTTTCCCTTTCATTGCCTTATATAATGCTTTCCATTTCTCTAGTTTCCTGTAAGTCTGTGACTCCTTTTCATAGTTAATCCTATCCTAATCATATGTTAAGACCTGCAGCTCTGGTGCGTTTTGTAAAGCTGTGGTTTAGGAAGGTGTCAGATGATTAGCCTACAGATTTCAGCAGTTTAATCTTCACAAATATGCAATAGAATTCTAGTTCTTAGCCCTCATACTAGACCCCTATAGAAACAAACCCTTTTTTGTATCAAATTTAATAAGCTAGTTGTTGTTTAAGACTGAAGTATATTTTAAGGGTTATGTGGTTTTGTATATGGAATTGGTTGGTTGTTTCTTCTGATTGTCTTACATGCTGTTTAGATGTGATGAAAGAAATGTGGGGTCCATCCCTTTCAGTAATTACCTAGATGTTGTTCAGAACAGAAAGAAATAAAGGATTTCTTTTTCTCCTGGTTTCTTGTGAGAATTTCAATTACTTCATTCTAGATCTTTGAGCAAGGATGTTGGTATTTTCCCTTTTCCCAGAATTCTTCAGTCTCATAATGTTATTTTAAGTTACTTCTATTGTCTTTACCTGTTTGTTTTTCCATTATTTTTTTTGCCTTCTTACCCCAGAGTATATTGGTTTAATGTTAAGTTTTCTTTAGATATGAGCTACTGTAACTTGGTAATTTTTAATCCTACAGTCTGGCCTTTTGACCTGTGTTTCTTTCTGTCTTCAGAATATATGTATCAATACTTGCAGTTAATCCTTTTGTGTTACTTAGTTTTCAGGCAGTTAACCTGTTTTCCAACACTGGCATCACAGGGATGCATAACACTGCAGTACATTAGAATGCTGAGTTGTAGGCCATGTTTCAGCTGGGAGCGTCAGAGTCAAATTAAAACTCTGATGCTGCTGAAGAATTGATGCTCAACAGATTTTTTTTAAGTTTCTGATTAAGTATGATTGCTTGTCAGTTACCATTAGCATCATTCAAAGTTGTTGAGGGAAAAGAATATTTTCCAATTCTGTTTTATGTTAATAGTATATGTTTGGGTTTGTTATAAACTGAGTTACTAAAATGGAAATGGCTGGTGGTTCTTTGTGTTGCTTTACTTGTAATATTTAATCAGTCTAAAGTCTTAAAATAAATGCTTAGTCATAAAATCAATGCTCAAATCAAATGATCTGATTTTGGAAAGGCAGGAAAAAAAATCTACTGTTGTAAACTGTTTCTAGACTGAGAGGCTAAGAAGACATTTTATTAAATGCCATACAGAGAAAATCTTGTAATTTAACAGTGGGGTACAGAACAACAGATGAAGAGGTTCTCCAGTCAGATAACTTAAAGGAAGAATGAAAAAACTTAACCATCAAAGCAGCCTGCAGGCTATGGGATTGTGATTGCAGTGTTGCTGGCAAAATTGATACCTGTGGCTGATAGCAGTAGAGCACTGTGGCAATCTGCTGCTTTTAACCCACAATATTTTAAAAATATTTTGTGAAAACTGTTTCCTACTGATGTTTGCTTCTCTGCTCTTCATGTAGGTATCATGCCAGTGTATCATAACATGTTTGCACTCATGAGTGAAACAGACAGAATGTGGTATCCCCCAAATCACATCTTCCATGTAGATGAAACAACCAGACTCATCCTAATTTACCGGATAAGGTAATCTAAATAAAATATTGTACACTTTTCATGGTAAAACCAGACTGTGTGAGAGAACACAGCCAATATGATATTTAGTTGAACTGTAGTTTCTCTTAGAAGTTATGGATAGATTGCCTGCATTTTCTGGAAAACAGGGAGCTAAAAGAATTAAAAATATTGAAGTGATTTGAATTATGTACTTTATTAATTTTCTCTATCCAGTATGTTTACCAGTGTCAGATTGAAGAAACAAACAATAAAAATATACTAGAAGTAAAAACCCTTCTTAATAATGATACATCTCATCTCCTCTGTGCTTGTGTGTTTGAAGTAAGTAGCAGTTTCTGAAATGCAGAGTAATTGTCCTACATAGTCAGGCATGTTTCTGCAATACAACCATTTTTCCCTAACCTTAAAATTTAATGTGGACAACTAAAACTGTAGTCATAGTTTTCCTTTTGTAAATTGCTTAATTTATTTACATTGTATAATTTGGCCTGAGTGGTTTTGTTTAGGAACTGTTTCAAAAGAAACTAGAAGACACAATAAAATTGTCTGTATTCTGATTAGTGAGAATAACTTAGCAAAGGTTCTCATTCCTATCAGTACAGTTTATCACCTTGCTTGAATACTGTAGTACTCTAAAACTCCAAGAACTGGATCTGTAGTCTTCATTGAGTAACTGGGGTTTCATAGTGGTCCTCCAATCAGCAGCACTAGTTACATGTATATGAGAGCAGTAATGTCTGATGCTGGTAACCAAAATGTCTGTTTATTAACATTTGCTTGAATTTATTTCCTACCAGGTTTTATTTTCCCCACTGGTATTGCAGTGGCAGCAACAGAGCATACCGGTATGGTATTCTTCGTGGTGCAGAAAGCCCCGTCCTTGATGATCTTGTCATGTCTTACCTATTTGCACAGGTATGATTTGCTTGCTTATTTTTAAATGCAGATTGGTGAGGGTTATTAGCATTTATTCCCTTTCTATCTTCTCCTAGTAACTCTGTGGGCTCTTGAAAGCTTGAAGCCCTCTCAAGCTGAAAATTAAATTCCGTATCCTATTGTATATTTGGAGAGATGAAGTTCAAAACAGTGCTTCTAAGCATGATAGCAGCTGGTATTCCTTATGAATAAGTACATCTTTTTGTGGATGAAGTAGGTCATTCAGGCTTTAAAAAACCAAGACAATAAAACCCCCTAAACAAACCAAACATAAGCAATCAAACAACACAACAACTGCTCCCCTCAACAACTGCACCCTGAACCTCTATTCTTGTTAAGCAGCAGTGTGCCAGGTTTCATTTTTTTTTCTTGCATTCTTTCTCAGTGGCGAGCCGATTTTTTGGATGGATGGGTACAGATGCCTGTTACTCATGAAACACAAGAAGAATGCCTTGGAATGGCTGTTCTAGATATGATGAGAGTGGCCAAAGAAAAGGACCAAACCCCAATGGCTATTTACAATTCAGTCAGGTGATTCCATAATTTGTAACTGTTTCACGTCTATCTCATGCCTAAAGGTTGTATTTTTGCATACTAGTGTCTAGGAGAAGGTGTTCAGCTGTTGGCAGTTGATGTGTTGATGTAAAATAGTTTTATTTTACCTATTATGTAAACTAGAAATTAATAGAAAATTTGTGTTCTGGTGACCATTCATGATTTGGAGACATGGATTTGACTCTCTTGATGAAGGGTAGGGCAGCAGCTTTTTATGTAAGAAAATATGTAAATAGTAATTTTAGGCAAGACACCTTCTGGATCCAAGTCCCTGTTCCTATCAGGGCCAAATTCAAAGTTAGATGAAGTGACTTAGGGCCTCATCCAGAGAAGTTCTGAAAATGTCCTGTTATGGAGATTCCTCTGTAACTCTGTGCACCTTTGTCCTCTGCATTACCATGGTCATTATGAAAGATTTTCTCTGTACCTAATCAGTCTCCTCTGTGATACTGATAATCCTCTCTTTCACATTATTAGAAGACAATAGTAGAATACCATACTTGAGCCTAATTTCTCTAGGCTGAACAAATCAAGCTCCCATATGCCTCTTCTCTCATGTCATGTGCTCCAGGCTCTTAAACATCTTGGCCAGATCTCTGCTAAACTTTCTTGAGTTTACCAAGTTACTTGGGTGTATCAATCCTATCAATTTCTACTCTGGCTGAGTTAATTCTGTCCCTGACATAGAAACTTCAGTGACAACCAACCACAGTTCTGTATTCTACTACCTGTATTTTCAGCCAGGAAATCTGTCCTTTATGCATGTAGTTGCCATGCAGTATCCTCTTTACAATTTCTGCAGAAAACAAAGCAATTTTGTAACTTCTGCTGCCTTACCTTAGAACTTCACTAATGAAAGAACAGACATCTTTGAATTTATGGAAAATGCATTATGTAGTTTGTTGCAATTGAGTGAGGGAAAAAATGGAAAATGGAAGAAAACGGGGTTTTATTTGAAAGAACATACTACAGATCTAAGGATCTTTGTTATCCTACAGCTGTAAAAATAACAGTACATTTAGAGGAAAAGGTGTTTTCAATATTGACTTGTTTAGCACAGAACTAATTGTCTTTGCTGGATTTAATGGATGAAATTAGTAGATTTTTTTTGTCTGGTTATGTATTTACAGCTACAAAATGTTTTTACCTAAGTGTGTGCGAGCAAAAATCCAAGACTACCACATTTTGACCCGAAAAAGAATAAGGTACAGATTCCGCAAATTTATACAACAGTTTGGCCAATGCAAAGCTACTGCCAGAAACTTGAAACTTAAGTATCTCATAAATCTGGAAACCCTTCAGCCTGCCTTCTATTCAGAGGTTTTTGAAGTAAAAGAACCTGGTGGAGGTCCTTCTGGAGAGGAAAGTTTTGCAACTGTTGTAATAACTGGAAATGGAGGAATCCAGTGTTCAAGAGGAAAACTTAAAGATTGTGAAACACTTGGAGAGCAGGTAATTTTAAAAAATTATTTTAATAACTGTGTTTTTTGTTATGGAAGAGAGTAGTAAGCTTGTTTTAGAAGTTCTGATTTAACTCAAGCAAATTTGGTAGGCAAATTTTACTTCACAATGACATTTTAAAAAAGTGGAAAAGTAATGACGATGCCCCCAGATGTATATAAAATGCAGAAATTACCCAAATAATCTTTGAAAGCTGGGATCTAGGGACTCCAAACAAGAGGCACATTCTCCTATATCTCTTTCCTGCTGTTAGACATCTACCAATGTCAAAATTAGCAAATTTAAAATGACATCTGAGTGATTGTGGAGTCCATATAGTCTTTCTTCAGGAATTAGGTGCTTAAATATGTAAGTGCTGTAAGTGCTAGTAATCATGTACTGCTGCATTTTTGTTTATTGGTATTATTTTGTGTTTGTGTGTGAGATTTTCCAACATGACTACTCATTATGTTGACTTTACCAAAACCTGATAGAAACTCAAAGCAGTGTGCATTGAGAGTGTGGGAGTTATCCAAAGGTAAAAGTAAAGGCAAAGTGGAGTATGTGTGAGTTTTTAAAAATAATCACATTGATTTTGTACTTTTGATTTGTAATATGTAGCAGACAAGGCCAAAGTACAAAAAGTTGTATTTCTACTGTGTGCTGTAATAATTTTTATAAAATGCTATATGCTAGTGGGTTTTTTCAATAGTTAGCAAAAAACAAATCTGATTACATCCCCATATTTTTTGAAGTGTGATATTCTTAGAATATTTGAAGATTGACAATTACTTCATTCATAGTTATTATGTATCAGCCCTCTGCCTTCCCTAATTTTCCTGTAAATGCCAGTTGCTCTGGCAGGAACTGTCATAAATGTCAGATTCTGCAATTTCCAGTTTTAGGTGCATAAAGTGTATGCATAATATATTGTTTGGGCTTGGCAATCAAGCCTTTAGTAAGTGTAGTGTTTGAATAAATCATATTTTAAAATAAAGATTGCCAAATTATTTTTCATAATTAAAAATATTGTCATTCCATTATTGACAGACACTGCATATATTTTCACTGGTAAAGAAACTATTTATAAAGTTTATTTTGAAAATTGAAATGGTTGCGCGTAAATATGATTGTAACTTGTTTCAGTAAACTTTACTGATGAATTGTCATTTAGATACTGAACTGAAAAATAATTTTTATTCAGATGTATGTAATGACATATATGAAGTAGATTGTGAAGAAATTTGTTTTCCAAGTTTACATTTTCACCAACCAGATGAACAAGTAGATAGGACTGAGAGGATAACCTTACACTTTTTCTTCCTTCCAGCTACAGATTTGCAGCTTGTATCACTGCGAATGAAGTCATGACATTTTGTATTGTTAACAGGCTTTCTAAACCTGTTTATTCAGGATGCCAATAATAAACTCAAAAACTTCTCTCAAAAAAGCAATCTAAATGTTCCACTGTTCACAAAATACTACAGCGTGAAGAAATATCTACAATTATAAAAACCCAAGCCCATATGTGGATATTTCTGTTCATGGTTCCTGGATCTCTGTCTGTTCTTTGATTTGTGTTACTAGTGATAATTGTGTAAGGAAAATACTTTCTTTGCTTGTAATGGCATGTTTAAGGTTTCATAATCATCTTTGTTGTTGGCTTACAAGTTGGAGTTGTAGAAGTTCCGATGCTGCAAATAGGTGAGGCTTTTTAATTGCCATTTATGTTATTACTGAAATTATATATTTGTTGCAGGATTTACAAACATACTGTGATTTTCCTGATATCATTGATGTCAGCATTAAACAAGCGAGCCAAGAAGGCTCCAGTGAGAGAAGAATTGTCACCATTCACAAACAAGACAGCAAGAATCTGGTCTGTTTACTTTGGTTGCTGTTCTTTTAAATAGATACTGCTTTGAGCAGGCTGTGTGATTGTTTTTGCATAGTCTTGTATAATCCATGACAACGTTAATTTAGCATGAGATAAAATACCTATCAGCAGTGTAAGGGGTGTTATCAGAGCACTAAAGATCTTCTGCATTCAAAGCTATGTGCTTGGAATGAAATAGAAATAGATATTTTTATCTGAGGAGAATTTCTGGTACACAGATTGGTTCTTTTGTTTATTAGTCTTAAACCTGAGTCCATGGTTTCAGTTCTCAAGTGTGCTGTTTCCATGGTGTCCTGATAAGCTGTCTGTTAGAGACCAACACATTGAAAAAGTCTGAAGAATGATGATACAAAATAAGTATCAGGGCAAAATTAATGTTATGGCTTTTATTATGTACAATTATTTGAAGAAGATCTTAAGAAATTATGTTATACCTAAATGTAAAAAGTTTTTTACTTTAACTACAACCTTGCACTTGAGTCAGGCTTTTTAGCAGGTACAGCTGTCACAGAGTTGTGGGGTGGGCTGACCCTGGCTGGGCACCAGGTGACCATGAGATCTGCTCTAACCACTCCCCTCTTCAGTTTGAACAGAGGAGAGACAATGTAATGAAGGGCTTGTGTCAGTCAAGATAAGGATAGATATCACTGACGTATTAACTGTTACAGACAAAACAGAATTGTCTCAGGGAAATTAATTGAATTTGTTTCAGAGTAGGGTAATGGGAATAAAAAAATCCTAAAAACGTATTCCTACCACCCCTCCCTTCTTGATGGGCCAGCTGTATTCCTTATTCTCTACCTCCTTCCCCTCAGCGGTGTACAAGATTGATAATGGGACGTGTGGTCAGTTCATTGCATGTTGTCCTTATCTCTCCCAGCTCATCCCCTGCTCCAGCAAGGGATCCCTCCAATGGTGGGCAGTCCTCCACAAACTTCTCCAGTGCAAATTGCTTCCACAGGATGCAGTTCTTCATGAACTGCTCCAGTGTTGGTGGCTTCCACGAAGTGCAGTTCTCCAGGAACAGGCTGTTCCACAGCTCCATAGTGGCTCATGGGGCCACAAGTCCTGCAACAAGTATGTTTCTGTGTAGGCTTCCCATGGGGTCACAGCCTCCTTGAGGCACATCCCCCTTCTGCGACATGAAGTTCTTCATGGGCTGCAGGGGGATGTCTGCTGCACCATGAACCTCCATGGGCTGCAGAGGCACAGCTGCCTCAACATGGTCCACACCATGGGCCGCAGTTGTTTCCAGGTCCTCTTAAAAAGGAGTTTGAAGACTAAATTTTTGACACTTACTCAAAGACAGCAGCTCTTTTTATCGCTCTCTAGCAAAGGCCTTGCCAAATAATTGTGTTCAGCTAAGTATGTCTCTGGTGTCACAGCCAAACACATACTAAAGCCTGTTCTGCTGTTCTACTGAATGAAATCTAGGGTGACTGAGAAAATGCTTCACTGTTTTTATTTGCAACAATTAATATATTGTTGCAGATGAATGTAATTTTGTCGTGCTTCTATCTGTTAATCACACTGTGCATAAGACCTTTTTCACACCCATTTTCCTTTGACCACACGATTTTTGTCCCTGCTCCTATCCAGTATACCTGTCTTCATAGTAGTCAAAGATAATCTTCTGTCTATGATTCAGCTCAGGATGTCCATTTTTGCTGACTAGTAGCTGAGTTTTCAGGCAGGTACTTTCCTGGAGATTTTTCTTTTCTGCTTGAAGGCAGACATAGAAATCTGTTAAGTGAAGGCTTTCCTTTAGGGAAGGACTGTATTGGCAGTGCAGTAGGTGTCTGCATGCTGACTTGTATCTACTTGTTTTTTCCTTTCAAATGCTCTTTCATATTGGCATTCCTCTGCTGTTTCATCTATTTAGACAAAGCAGGGGAGGTTTTAGGGCAGATTTCATAGAATCATGAAATGGTTGGAGTCAGAGGGACTTTAAAGATCATCTGGATCCAAGATCCCTGCCATGTGCTGGGACATAGTCCATTAGAACAGATTGTTTAAAAGCCTATTCCAGGGATAAGGCATCCACAACTTCTCTGTTTTCTTTGGTTTTGATTTGATCTTGAACACTGAAGGATGCTATCACATTTTGAATGATAACAAGAGGCTAGACCATACAAATATCAGTTAAAAACTGATTTTATTAATGTCTTTAATGTGCACATATATGCATATCTTTTATAACATTAGCATATCCAGGAATTTTTTGTTGCCTATTAAAAATTGAAATTGTCTCTCCCTCCCTGCCCCACATTGTTCTCTGGCAATTGAACAGGAGGCTGAATTTCAGTCATTAAGAGAAGCTCTCTCCTTTGTATCATTAATTGATGGATATTACAGATTAACAGCAGATGCACATCATTATCTCTGTAAAGAAGTAGCACCACCATCAGTCCTTGAAAATATCCAAAGCAACTGTCATGGACCAATTTTGTAAGTATTTTTTTTTTAGTAATATGACAATTGGATATTATTTTTGGAAGATGAGCTTTAGTTGTCTGTGAACTGTAGTAGGCGTCTTAAATTTTTTTCTATTGCATTTATGTAACATAAAATGCTTTATATTTTTCCTCTTATATTTCACTTTGTAAAATATAGTGCCTCCTTGACATGTTATAAAAAATAAGTGGAAAGATCATTCCATGATATGGATATAAATAGTGAGTTAGTAAGGCTTATTTAAGAGGAAATTCGTTCTTAGAATAATGAATGTTGTTTTATTTCAGCTCTTTTTTCTTGTTAGCCATTTTTCTGGTTAAGCCTACCTTTTTCACCCACATAAATGTTTTGCTAATTTAAGCTTATTTGTTAGGTAATTTTATTATAGCTTCTTTCACCATGCATGTTGAAAATCATATAATAAGCAGTGGGGAATATACTTTTTTAGCCCTTAATGTTTCTTATTGGAAAAATAATTATGATGGTTTGGTATCAAAAAATTGTAATATGCTGCTCTCTACATAAGCAATCACCCTATATATTGGAAAATAAAGGGCAAAGAGATTAACTTAAAGAAAGCTGTACATATATACATCTTATATCTCTGTATTTTGCAATTATGCCATATTAAACATTTTCTTTTTACTGTAGCATGGACTTTGCTATCAGTAAACTGAAGAAAGCTGGTAATCAGACTGGTTTCTACGTCCTTCGTTGCAGTCCTAAAGATTTTAAAAAATACTTCCTTACTTTTGCTATAGAGGTTTGTATTTTGTCTTAGTGCCTATTTAATTTTTGTTGTGATATAAGAATGAGCCTGAGATGTTTAGTAAATGATTCTGAATTTTCCCTCCAGAATGTTTGTCTAGCATGTATATTCTCTAGCTACTTTTGTCAGATGGGCCAATTTTCAGGGTCTTGTGAGAAACATCAGAGTTGATACAGGATTGCTAATGCACATGCCACATGGCTTGGAGACCAAGACAGGCTGAGGGAAGAGAGTTTATGAGTTCTGGAGATAATGACTGTGATGTTGGGATAAATGTTTGGGAGATGGAGCTGGAGCAATTCAATGGGTTTTCTATTTATTTTAAAGTTTGGGGATTTTTACTTGAGTTTTTCCCCTGGGTTTTCCACATACCTCCTCCCCCCTCACAAGCAAGGCTTCATTAGATTGAGTGTACAGGCTTTGACAATCTGACAGTGCCTCCTTCATGGGTTCTTCTGGGTTTGGGTCTTGTCCTCATCCCCAGTACTGGGCCAGCCATAGTATTTGGCAGCTGTTACATCAACACAAATTTCCTGGGTATATTTGTTATTAACTAGAGAGAAAGCCACCCTGGAAATGCATATGGTTCTGAGCGAATCAGATGTACCTCTTCTCTCTGACATTGCAGCTAGTGATAATATAATGATTTATTATTGCTGTTAAATAATTTAGTGATCTTGTTTCAAGAATAGATTTCTCTTTAATTACATTAGCAGACCTACCTTTGCGTTTTTAGCCAGGGAAGGTAATACAAGAATTTTCCTACTGGTATATAGCAAGCTAGCAAGTTTGAGGTAGCAAGCTTCCTGTCAGAGATAGGTACATTTCTGAAAATTACCAAATAATGTGGATATGTAAATGGAGAAATGTTATGTCCAGTTAATGAACTATGTTTGGTAGGGAATTTTGTAGACAAAGAAATCAGTTCATGAACAAACTTAGAGAGGCAAAGTTGGGAGTCAAACCTGTGAGAGAAGACTACCATTGCCTTTAAGTGACTTTGCAGCAACTTTTTTTTCTTTTTCTGGGTCTTGTGCAAGTCGTTGGAAGACTTTTTATATTCAGAATTTGTTGGGACATTTGCTGCAGGATTGAGATTCAGGACCACAGAAGCACTATTAAGGGTTCATCTTGTTTAAAAATGTTTAATGGTATCTTTTCAGGAGTCATTGCAAAAAGAATTCAGTGCATATTAAAAATACATGTTAGGAAGTAATTTCTTAGAACTGTTCTGGAGATGACACGAAAGCAGAACTACAGCTGAGATCACCAAATGCCTGCCAAACAAATATGGTGTATAAGCACTTGGGCTATCGCTTCCAACAAAATTTTATTTTGATGTAACCCCATGTCAGGGTGAATAAGCTTTCATTAATAGCTCTGAAGGATTTTTCCTAGGATCCATTATCTGTTTTCTCAGCTCCATCTTTTCAGATTTCATTAACATTTGTTTTTCTCTAGCATCAACATGCTAGTTCCAATGATGGGAGTTAGTCATGTTTTCTCAGAATCCATATTACATAGTGAGAACAAAAAACAAATTATGATCATATTTTCCTGAAGCATCCTTTCTTTAATTAGTAGAGTGCTATACATTAAGATAAGCTTTCAAATATTAAATATTAATCAATTTCATTTTAAATGGAAAAATTTTCTGCAGCGTGACAGTACTACAGATTATAAGCACTGTTTAATTACGAAGAATGAGAATGGAGAATATAATCTTAGTGGAACCAAGAGAAGTTTTAGTAATCTTAAGGATCTCTTGACCTGTTACCAGACAGAAACTGTCCGTTCAGACAGCATAATTTTCCAGTTCGTCAAATGCTGTCCTCCAAAACCAAAAGGTAAGAGAAAGATTATTTCTAAGCAGAAAGTTTTCTATTTTCTAGATTAAAGACTTTAAAATAAGTTAATACTAAATGACTCTCAGGTAGATGCATGATACAAAACTGGGAGGAAGTATTGGTACTGTTGAAGGCAGGGAGGCCCTTTAATGAGACCTCAGAAAATTAGAGAATGGGGCAATCACCAACAATATGAATTTTCATATGAAGGAAAATGTCAGATTCTGCAGCTGGATGTGCAGACAGACTGGGGAATGAGTTGCTGGAGAACACTGCCATGGAAAGGGGCCTGGAGATCCTGGTCTGTGGCAAGTTGAACACGGTCAGCAGTGCCCTGGCAGCCAGGAGGGCCAGCCGTGTCCTGGGGACATCAGGCACAGCATGGCCAGATGGACAAGGGAGGGGATTGTCCTGCTCTGCTCTGAGCTGGGGCAGCCTCACCTCCAGTGCTGGGGGCAGCTCTGGGTGCCACAGTAAAAGAAATGTAAAACTACTGGAGAATGTCCAAAGGAGGCCCATGACGATGGTGAAGGGTTTGGAGGAGAAGCTGTATGAGGAGTGGCTGAAGTCACTTATTCTGTTCGGCCTGGAGAAGAGGAGAGTGAGGAGACACCTCATTGCAGTTAAAACCTAGTCATGAGGGGAAGGTGAGGGTAAGGCACTGATCTCTTCTATGTGGTGACCAGTGACAGGACCTGAGGGAATGCCCTGAGACTGTTTCAGGGGAGGTTTAGGTTGGGTATTAGAAAAAGCTTTTTCACCCAGAGGATGGCTGAGCCCTGAAAGAGGCTCCCCAGGGCAGTGGTCACAGTACTAACGTTCAGGAAGTGTTTGGACAATGCTCTCAAGCACGTGGTGTGACTCTTGGGGATGGTCCTCTGCAGGGCTGAGAGTAATCCTTGTGGGTCCCCTCCAGCTCAAAATATTTTGTGGTTCTGTGATACATTTGTGTGGGGTTTTTTTTAATTTTACTAACCTAGTTATGCATCTTCGTCATAGTTTTCAGTCATGGTGTCTGCAAAATTTTGGTGTAAGATAGTCTTCCAGAAGTAATCATGGTAACCAGTTTCATGATTAGAAGCAAAACTGGTTTCTTAATTGCAGTGGATTGTGTGTAGCAGCATTTCTTCTTATGTAAAGTGTTTTCATGTCTTGAGAAGGAAACAGCTACTAAATGAATTATTTATCACTGAAAATACTTCCATAGGTAATGGAACCAATGTCAGTGAATTTCTGTCATTGTTGGTCTTAGCTGAGTTGTGCCAGGTCTGCAGTGTGGTTTCAGCTCCTTGTTAACACTGAAAAACCACACATGAAATAGTGCTTCTCTCTGAGGAGGGGATTTTTCTTGCATTTGCATTTAATTTTTTGCCTATCTTTGATATTAATATCTTTCTCCTTTAGGAAATCTTTAAATATCTACCCTTCTAAGTAGTACTACACACAGTTAATATTAGTCTTTGTCTCTATCAAAGTTTTTATTTAAAGACAAACTTGCCATATATATAACTTATATAACTTTTACTTCTCTCAAATTTGATTGAAAATAGCCAATGGATTCGAAACCTTAGAAAAGATGTAACAAGTAAATATATATGCACATTATAAAGAATTTTTCAACATTATTCCATTAAAATCAAAAATTTATATGCATCAGAAGAATACATTATTGAATAAATATTATCATGGATGTGAGCAGATACCCACAAAGAATACTTTTCGGATTTAGTTTTAGTATCAGACTTACTCTACTTTGTATTATAAAAGGAGGTAATTTACATCCCCTTTTCCATCCCAAATTATTATTAAAAATAGTGGAGCAGTTAAAATATGAAAGGAGGTAGGAATATTTTCAGAATGTTTGTCAAAAGTAGGAATACTTAAGAAACATAAAACCCATGAGTGAACCTAAATGATTTTGCTGATTAGAAAATATCAGACTTTGATTTCAGTTAAATAATGTGTGGCTTTTTAAATACACATGCCTCAATGTGATATCTTGTTTGTGTTTAATTAGGAGCCCCTCATTAATAATCCTTCTGAAACTATATTGGTTTAGTTTTATATTTTACAAATTTACTTTGGTTTTCCTTTCTCTCCTTCTTCTCACAGATAAATCAAATCTCCTAGTCTTCAGAAGCAATAGCGTTTCCGATGTGCCTTCATCACCTATGCTACAGAGGCACAATAATGTCAATCAAATGGTCTTTCACAAAATCCGTAATGAGGACTTGATATTTGTAAGTCTGTTTGTTGCATTTTCTACTGCAGATGTTGGGTTTAATAGGCACCAAGTTTTTAAAAAAGTGTATTTAAAAGAATCTTATCTGACTTAGGAGATTTTGCTGTAATCTTTCCTTAGAGTTGTGGAAGAGAATTTATTTTATTCTTCAGTAATGGAAATAGTTATTTTTTTGTAATTAATTGTTTTGACTGCAATAATAGATATTTGGTTCTAGAGATATCTAAATACATATTTAATGGAATTTCTTCCTCTCTAGTTCTTGCAGCAAGTTATTTTCTGAGATTTTTGAGTAATCAATAAAAAAAACAAACCAAAATTTATGTTTCTGATACAGTTGCTTCCTTTCCTTCTCAGCTGGACTCTACAGCCAGCACACCTCTAATGACTTGCATATGCTTATGTAGGGGACCATTTCTAAATATGTTTTTTAAAACAAGCAGAGTTATTTTTTTTTCTGTCTGTATTCTTCCTTCCTTTTAGGAGGAGAGTCTTGGACAGGGCACATTTACTAAGATTTTCAAAGGTGTCAGGAAAGAAGTGGGAGACTATGGCCAGCTCCATCAAACTGAAGTTCTTTTAAAGGTGCTGGATAAAGTGCACAGAAACTACTCTGAGGTTGGTGTGACTGTTGACTTCTATATTACATTTCTCCATGCTATGTTGAGCATTGCTCTTCTTTTCATGAGCATTACCCATTTACTTCATAAATGAGTATTTGTGTGGTAGAGGGTTATATGTTGATCCAAGCTCATGCTTAGACTTGTGACACTGAGAGTATGGATTTGAGACTGGCTTGGGGAAGTATACCTATGTACTTTAATTTCCCTGTTCATACCACCTGTGAGAGAATTCAGAACTACCCACTCAAAACTGGAGAACAGGTCATTTATACAATTAAACTATCAGAGGAGGGGTGGTATGGCCACAGGGTTGTCTAAGCCAGTAAATTCATTATTTACAGACAAGGGACTGTCTACGGAAAAACACATCCTCTGGGTAGACTGTCTTCAGACTTTTCAATAAAATCAGAAGTATTTATGTATGAGAAAAACTTAGCACACATGGATACACCCATAATCACTGAGCCTTCTCACTTTTTGAGTGACTATTTTAGCAGACCTGAAATACTTTTGTGCAAAAACTAATAAAATGGTAGTGTAATCAAACCAAAAACTCTATGTGAGAACTGAATTTTAAAACTTTCACAAGACGTACTATTGTTTATTATATTAATATAACTTTATAATGATGCTTTTGATAACATAGGTAATAAATTTGTATTCTAAAGTATTAATCAGTTACAAAATGTTCAGAGTATAGAAATAAAAATGTATTCACTTAAAGGAAAATGTTGTCATTTTCATTTCACTTTGTTGGGTGAATAATCAGTACACAAGGAAATGTAGGTGGAGATGCCACTGAACAGAATAAAAAAATAAAGCAATAAAATAATTTGAAACTTTCCTGACAAAGTTGGAAAAGGTCTTGCAATAGTGGATGAATTATATAATATTTTTTGTCTTTTAATAATGTGCTACAAAGAGATAAATTGGAAACTGAACAGTGCATTATGGCAGAATAAATTAGAAAGTGAATAGTGTATGATGAATTTGCTTTCAATTTACCTAGGTAATTGAAACTGAGAAAAAAAGATTATTTTAAAATGTTAAGATATATTTGCTGGCAGAGAAAAAGAGGTTGCTAACCTATCTGGAATGTGTACTACCAGTTATTTAGAAAAAGAAAATTTGGAAAAAACCTCCACAACAAAAAAACCGAAGCAAAACCCAGCCAAGCAAGAAACAGTTGCCAAACACAAACCAACAATAAACAATATAAAATATGTTACATAGGGTCTTTGCAAAGAGACAGTTGAAATAAATTTTTTAAATTATTTTAGTAAATTTATTGGAACTCTGGGGCTTTGTTTTTACTGATATATTTTCTTTGTTGATTTCTCCCTCTCCTTCCAAAAAGTCCTTTTTTGAAGCAGCAAGTATGATGAGCCAGCTTTCTTACAAACATTTGGTCTTAAATTATGGAGTCTGTGTTTGTGGAGAAGAGAGTAAGTAGAAATTAATTATTTTTTTACGAATTTTTATACTTCTGAATTAGAGTTTGACATTGGTTTTGGCTAAAAATGGGAAAAAACAAACAAAACAACTGAAGTTCAATACCAGCTGGACAGATAGTACGTGTTCATGCTGCAGCAGTAGTAGCATTGGTATCTAAGAGCTAGTTAATAATAAAAACAAAGAAAAGGGAAAAATTGTTTAATGTACAGTCAGTGTGAATAGTAGACTCTGTAGATGACTCAGTCATGTCTGTTCTATTTGAGATCAGTTTTGCTGCACCTCTGGAATGAGATTTTGAAGTGCCAGAAAAATTGCAGCCTTACATTGTATTAGCAGTGGGTAGCCAGAAAGGGAGGTACTGTGCTACCCAGAAAAATCTTCACTTACTGTGATTAGAAATAGACATTGCGACCGTTTTCCACGCGTGCTGATTTCATGAGCACAAATATAACTTTGGGAAATTTGGCTTAGAGATCCAATTTTGAAAACATGAGTTCTTGGTAATTCAACAAACACAGTACAAAATTTTAGCAGCAGTAAAACCTTTGCATTTTCTGCAAAAGTTGAATGTCTTACAGCTTTGTAACTATGTATTAATAAGATTTTTTTAAGAACACTTGAAATGCCATTTATACCATCTTGAAATGAAGTCTTAATTTTGGATTGTTGTCATATGCTAATGTGTCTTCAAATATGACTGCTGACTCTCACTTCAACTGTTTTTCTTCTTCATTCGGTCTTTAGGCTGAAATATGAGTTTATCCAAAACCCTTTTTTTTCTGTGATTAGAAATTTGTATGAAAGGAAGCATTTTATAATTGTATGAGCATATTATGTAGGTGGTTACCTTTATTAGTGAGAGAATTTCCAAAAGAGATGGTGGATTCAGTAATCAGAATGTACCTCTGTAATCAGAAATGATCTCTCACAGGAGGGTGGAAAAGGCACAGCATTATATTTGCCAAGAACTTGTGCCGGAACTTCTGCCAAAACAACCACGTTAAGTTTTCTGTATTTTATTCATTGTACCAAACACAGGGACGATACAGAAAATTTCAGGTAGCTCATGTTTGTAATTGAAAAGAAATTGTTGCAAGAGGTATATGGTTACTTATTTCACCTTTAGATCATATCTGTCCTCTAGAAATTATTCTCTTTCTGAAGGCAAGAGACTTACTACAATTTAGGGAGAGGCAGTTAGTAAAAAATAGGAAGAGCAGCTATTATTGATTCTGTTTTTTACACAGATGTACCTGATGTACAAAAATAAAAATTGTTTTGCATAATTGCAAAAAAGAAAAAGTATTTGCTGTCTCTTTTGTTAAAAAAATATGTTTATTTGTTGCAACCAGATATAGTACTAGTAGTTTCAATGTGAACGTCTTGCAGCTGAGGGCAAGGGTTCAGTCATTTGATTTGAAATCATTGTGTTGAAAGTGATGAAGACAGCAGTTCTTGTTTCTGGAGTTATGTGCTAGATGGCTGCAGGAAGGCATATGTCATACACATATACACAATTTTAGGGCAAATACTTGTTTGTTTTCAAGCGAAGTGTCTTTGTCAATAAAGCATTGCATTTTCCAGTGAGAATATAGATGGTAAACAACTATGAAGTGAATGACTTGAATATTACTCAACTCACCACATTGATAGTGCTGTACACTACTATGCTTCATCAGCAGTTACATTATTGTGCCTTTCAGATGAGGGTGGAAAAATCCTCGCTGGATTTTGCCTGATCTGTAAAAGATTAAGTCTAAATAATTAACCTTAAAAGATTAAATCTAGTAACTATGTCTTTGAGAAGAAATTAGGTGAACTTTCACACTCTGAGGAAGTGTGAAGAACATAGAGTATGTGTGGCAGTACTCAGGTATACCACAGAAGTTGAAATTTATAGTTAGATCACCAACAAGGTATCAAAAGAAGAGTAGTACTAAGGTCATTAATCTGTCCTGAAATTTTATTATTGTTGGTTTTAATTGTTACTCTTTTTATCATTATGAATCAGACATCCTTGTACAAGAATATGTGAAATTTGGATCCTTGGACACATATTTGAAAAAGAACAAAAATGTTATCAATATCTTGTGGAAGCTGGAAGTAGCCAAACAGTTGGCATTAGCCATGCATTTTCTGGTAAGTGGTTCAGTTTTGTTAAGGGTAGAATTCAAGTGATTCTGACTCGTGTGTGTAGAAAGGCTGAGCTATTACCTGAATTCTTGAAAATCTGGAGGGTTTTGATAATGGATTGGCCATATACTAGCTATTTAGTAGATATCCAGAGACCTTGTATCTTCCATGAAGCATAGTTGAATGTCCATTATTTTCTTTAATTCTTTATTTTTTAGCATGAAATATAAACACTTCTGCAGTAATGCTTCCCCCCCCCCCCCCCCCCCCCCACAAATTAGTCCTTTCTTCCCACCTCAGCTCATGATGCTGAACATAAACTGGTAGTGTTAATACTTAGCACTGGGAGAAGAAAGCACTGTACTGTTTGCTCTTCTAGTGCATTCTTCTTGGGCATTAGGTCTCAACCTTACAGTCTTTCCAGTTAGATATAAAGGTCATTATTCAAGACAGGATATGTGACTAGGTAAGTCTTACCTTTAACAGAATTTAAATATTCTTACATTAATTTTAAGTGGATGGATGACTATTCTTCTGAATTAAAAAGTGTCAAATTGTTTCAGACTTTAGGTAAATAAGAAAAATTTGCTGAAAACTGTAAGTTTGAGAGAAACTGTAAGTTTGAGAAAGCTGAAGTTTGATCAACTTAATCTGTAACCGTTATTTTATTTGCCGATGTTTCCCTCATTCTGTACAGTATATGTTTTTAAATATCTCTTCAACAGTAAGACTTTTTTGGTCCAATTCTGTTTACAGGAGGATAAAGGTCTTGTTCATGGGAATGTCTGTGCTAAAAACATCTTGCTTATCAGAGAAGAAGACAGGAAGTCTGGAAACCTCCCATTTATAAAGCTGAGTGATCCTGGCATCAGTATTACAGTTTTGCCAAGAGATAGTAAGTCTTTGCATCAACTTTCTTGCTCAGTACTTCTGACTTGAAAAATAAGTTTGGGGGTGTGTTTTTTTTTTTTTTGACCACCAGGTAACCTAATTATGTTGTAGTAAGTTCCTTCATCTGTGTGTTATTTTATAGTTATCCCTACAATCCTAGCCAAGCAGTTTTGAGTGTCTCTTGTAAATTGGCAATTACTTCCGGGAATTAAGGCCCCATTTTTCCCTTTTTTGGGTTTTTTTTTTTTGTTTTTTTCTTTTTCACCCTTTTTTCTTTTTTGTTCTATTTTTTTTTTTCCTTTTTAATTTTCCATTTTGTTTGTTTCCTTTTGCGGTTGGTTGTTGACTTTAGTGTCTTGTAATTGATCAAGTCTTTTATACCTTGCAAGAACTTTCAGAACTGAAACCAAATGCACTTTTGAAAATGCTGACTGGTAACTTCAGTGCATTTCTTGGTGAATACCTAGAGCCACTTGATGTTAAAAATACTGGGTTATCATCCACTCTTAAGACTTCCAATGCTTTATAGCAAATACTAATAGAATGGAATTAGTTGATTAGTGATATGTTAATTTTTCAAGTGTGTCCACTTAGTATTCCTTTTATACTCTTTCTTCTTAATGAAAACACTTCTTACTTGGTACTTTTTATCAATGTCTAAAGAAATAATGTATCTAACAGCTTATACATTATGCAGTGTTTGCCAGTAAACTATTTTAATTTTCCTTGTTTTAATGTGAAGCTTACATTATTCTTATGAGATCTCATTTTAAGGAGCTCTAAATTCAAATCAGTACAATCCCATATTTTAACTTGTTACTACAGTCAGTAGCAATAGCTTAAAAATCACATAGTTAAAATTCCTTCTTGTGGTGCCTTTTGCTGTGCCATAATACGCCAACCACTAGCAAAGTACTTTTTACTCTTTAATGTCTTAGTTCTTTGTGATAGCTATTGAGTCCTGGTAAGATTGGGGGAAATAGAAATCACAATAAAAATGTAACATGGAAATGATATTAAGGCAATTTTATACCTTTAGGCTTATTTTACAACAAAACAAATGGACCTCCTCTCTGATTCACAAATATTATTTGAATTTTTATCCATGTTCTATAATGTTATTTTCTTGGTGGGAAAAAATACTTGGAAAAGTATTATTACTGCATTGCAATGAAATATCTGTTTATATTAAAGTAATTTTTACCAAATCAAATATGTTAGGCAATTTTCTGGTATGGTTATTCATCCTAACAAGTTTCCTTGGTGTGACCACACACAGTTCTTCTGGAGAGAATACCCTGGGTTCCTCCTGAATGTATTGAGAATCCCAAACAACTAAGCCTAGCTACAGACAAGTGGAGTTTTGGTACCACTTTGTGGGAAATCTGCAGTGGAGGAGACAAACCCCTGAGTGCACTAGATTCTTCAAGAGTAAGTATTACTGGGTCTGCAGTCATAACAGTTCTTTGAACACTTCTAATTTAGAACATCTGCTATTGCAACCACATCAGCATGTAACACTGGTGTGGTCTATGACCACTGTAGGAAAAAGACATATTTGCTTGTAGGTAATAACCAGAAGAAATGGTTTGAAGTTTGTTTTTATGTTGTTTATTTTGATTTTTAGGGGGACAAAGTACAGAATTGTCATTACTATCTAGTTCATACTTTTGTTGCTTTGTTGCAGCAGTGTATCACTTTAAACAAAAAGCATTCCCAACAGTGTGCATGGATTTTAGTTAGTATTCTTGTAATTGAACATCTCAGATACAGTAGTACTTTGTGTGTTGCAACAATTCTACTATTTTAGCTAAACCAGTAATGTTAACTTTTATCTCAGGTACGGGCAGGAGATGGAGGAGAAACATATTCTGTACAAATTTTAATTTATACGTCTTTGCTTCTTTGGAAGCAAAAAGAATACTTTACTATGCCACAAAAGTACTGGTAGTATTATTTTTGTAAAGGTACTGTAACCTCCCCATAAAGCTTGATTTTATTTCTCAGGTATTTTAATCAACCCTTACAATAATCTCCAAGGTTTACCTAGACCTAGCTTATAGATATTTAAGTATTTCAGAAGTTGCTCTACATTCTTTCATAATTCTCACAGAGCTTTTCACAGCTGTGAGTTCAGCCAGTTCACAGGTCAGTAGAATTTTCTACTGGACCTATACAGCTGAGGATTGATGAAATTGCCAATAAAGGAGACACTATTTTTCTCATCTTTCTCTATTAATCTTATCTTCTACTTCTTCAGTAATTGGCTGGAAATTTTTGAACTGATCACTCTAAATTATACCAGCCTTGCCTTAGATGAAAATCGGTGAGATGGACATTTGATGAGATACCAAGTCTAGGTTTAGTGTTGTAATTTTTGGCTACTATGGGGAGAATGTTAAGGCTACTGCAACTCTTCATGGTTGTAAAATGTAAAATTAGTTACCTGTTTAATTCCAGAAACTACAGTTTTATGAAGACAGGCACCAGCTTCCTGCCCCGAACTGGACAGAACTTGCAAACCTCATAAACAACTGCATGGATTATGAGCCAGATTTCAGGCCTTCTTTTAGAGCAATTATTCGTGATTTGAACAGTTTGTTCACTCCGGGTGAGTTTGCAATACAACAGGATTAAAAAGAATTCTGATTCTTATTGATTCACTTTTTTAGTAGGTTTTTGAAATACATCATTGTATTTGACTGCAAATTACTATATAGAAATAAAGGTGGCTGTCAATATTCTCCTGAGCTTTAAGTATGACAAACAAAAGTAGAAAATGCTATGATTGTAATAAGGTTCTTCCTTTTCTTGTTCACTACTCTGTGCCTTCTGTTCCCTTTCTTCTCTTCTTCCTTCTACCTCTCAGATTACGAGCTATTGACAGAAAGTGATATGTTACCAAATATGAGAATTGGAGCACTTGGATTTTCTGGCGCTTTTGAAGATCGGGACCCAACACAATTTGAAGAAAGACATCTTAAGTTTTTGCAGCAACTTGGCAAGGTAATATGTTTCAAAATTCTGAATAGGAATAACTATGGTTATCAGTTATCCTTTGATGACCCCGTATACATTATTTACAGTGAAACTTCTGTTTTAGAAGTTAATAATTTCGGTCATATCTGATCAACACGTGCTTCTAGCTCTTTTTTTCACTTTCACAGTATTCTTAGAAGAAAATTAGTTAACCTTCACAATTAATCCAGTCACACCAAAAGGCTAAGTACTTTTAAGTAATGCAGAGCTGCCTGACATAAACTTTAGATAGATAGATAGATAGATAGATACATACATACATACATACACACATACACTTGATAATTCAGTTAACAACACTTTGGAGCAGTCTTGTGCAGAACTAGTGGAATTGGGGGTTTTGTGCATATTCTGAGAAATCTGAATATACAGCCACTACATTCAGAAGGAATATATATGTCTTTAAGGTACATGTAGGCCTTGAACTTTTTTGTTTTAGAAATCAGGATTTGGTTACTAGTTTTGTAGGTCATTGCAGCCTGGGTGTGTGAAAGCAGACCTAGACAGATGACCAAGTACAGCTGGCCAATCTTCACCAAGTACTATTTTTCTAGAATGGTTCTTTGCTGTTTTATTTGGTTTTTACCAGTATTCCTTTGGCTTCAAGTACTGAAGCAGCCTGAATGTGAAGTAGCAGAAGTACTTCTGTTTGCAGATGGTTGGTTGTTGACTGTGATAACATAGCACTGGGAGAACAGCAGAGTGGTAGGTGATAGCTGCATAAAGGAAGACAAAAGACAAATTAAGAGAGAGACAAAGCCAGAACATTGAAACAAATTGGAGAGGAGCCAAAAAAAAAACCAGAACAGAATTAAGAAGTAAGACAAAGGGATTTATGCAAGTTCAAGAAATGGATTATGCCAGTGGAAGTGGAAATTTGTGAAAGGAGAGAAAATAGATGGACATCACCCTCTTTCCTTGTCCTCGTTTCCTGTTCTGTTTGCTTGCTTTCATGGAATATTTTCCTTTTTCAGCTGTTATCCTCGGTCCTGCACTTTTTCTCTCTGGGAAGTTTTGTGGCCTTTCATTTAAATAATTAATCACATCACTTTAATCCTTAGTACTGTGAGCAGGGAACAAAAACTACACTCTACATGTACAAACATGTACACTAGGAAACACAAAGACAAAGGATGTAGACTTGTTTTTAATTCTCAAGTGTTTCCATTTGTGTCCTAGGGAAATTTTGGCAGCGTTGAGATGTGCCGGTATGACCCACTTCAGGATAATACTGGGGAGGTGGTTGCTGTGAAAAAGCTGCAACATAGCACAGAAGAGCACCTTAGGGACTTTGAAAGAGAAATTGAAATACTTAAATCACTGCAGCATGATAACATCGTTAAATACAAAGGAGTATGCTACAGTGCAGGTATGTGCTATATTGAATACACCTCAATATGCATACTGAGAAATTCAGAGAGGTAAGTGTTGATGAAAGTCACTGACTTGTAGTACATTTACCAGGACTAAGAGAGTACAAAACAAAGGAAGTTTTTTGAAAGATGGTAACATTGGTAACAAGTTAATGTCACCATTTTGAGTTTCATCTTGACATAGACTTCTCGTTTGCCTTAGCAAAAGTAGCTGAAGTATTGATGAGATGATGTTGATTAGTGATATGTTAATTTTTCAAGTGTATCCACATTATTGTTGCATTTCAGTAAGTGGCATTTTCTGAGGAAATGCAGTTCATTAGTATATGAAAAATTGCATAATGATGTATAGATCATAAATTAATATTTTTGTATTGAGTGCATTTTGTATTATGGCTACTGGTAGAGTTACTAAAATACTTACATTAAAGAGCTCATCTTTGGAAAATTACAGAAATAATTACATTTGTATTTTTTGTTATTGCTGTAAAAGGACGAAGGAATCTAAGATTAATTATGGAATACTTACCATATGGAAGTTTACGTGATTATCTGCAGAAACACAAGGAGAGGCTGGACCACAAGAAGCTTTTACTGTATGCATCTCAGATATGCAAGGTAGGACATTTCAAATTATATACATATTTCAATGAAGTTTTGTCTCCTCCACTGCAGATCTCCCACAAAGTGGTACCAAAACTCCATTTTGACCTTTGCTGGCTGTGCAAATTCGGTAGAAATCTTTGGGAAAGGAGCTGTATTCAGAAACTACAAATAAAAAAGGACCTTTGTGTGTGTGTACATACACATACATAAAAGAACTTTGAAAATACTACAGGTCTTTAGGAGGGTGAGAAATCAAAATAGCAGATGAGATGATTCTTTCTGAAGTACCAAGTACCAACCAATAGAAAGGGAGCTAAAATATGCATCCTGCGGAGACTAAAGTGGGAAAACATCCTGCTTTGATAATGACAAACCATGGGGACAGACATTATGAAAATGTGGGAAATCTGCACAGAGCTTGCTCTTAAAGAAATGTCTTCACTTCTAAGAAAAGCAAAATCTACAAGTTACAGTGTATGTGTCTTGCTAGTGTAGTTGCTGTACGATCTGCAAAGTAGAGGTTATATCAATTGCTATAAGATTTCTCTAATCTGTGGTATTCTGATACTCCAAAACAATGTAATTATAGACATAGTGAGTACCTGATATTGTGAAAATGGAACCTGAACGCTTTTTCTTCGTTTAGCTGATCATGTCACACTTTTCAGCTGGTTATGCTTTTCTTGCAGTGTTTGCTCTTTCAGCATCTCACTTATCTTTCTGCTTTGCATTTCTGTCAGTCTGTAATCTTGGAGGGTTTTGATCACAAACTTTTCTACCTCTGCCATGCTGTTCTCCACTGAAGTGTATGACAGAAATGAAGGCACACTCATTACCTGAGGGTTAAGATGAATATGTTTGGTTGTTTACTGTATTTCCATTCCTTGCTCCTACTATACTGGGAAAGGGTTTTCCTTCTCTTAATGTTCAAAGTGTTTCTGATGCCCTTGCCGATGAGCCCAGTTTTAAAGACAGAAACATTTTAAATTACATTTAAGCTCTGTTGTTAGACTAGTGCCACAGGATTGTGATATCCACTTAGAATTTTCATGATTTCAATTAAAGATCTGTCTTAGGTGTTTTGCAGGCTAACAGAAAAGTTACTATCAAACTTTATCGCTGTTTTCAGAATAATACACTGTAGTAAGAAAAAGCGGTAGCATTTTCATAGGGTAATTGTACCAGAAATACAGAAGCTTCAGTGTGAAGAAGTTAGGTTTGGTATTTATGGCAGTGAATAAGATGGCAATGAGGAATGTGGCATTTTTGAACAGTTTTGGAATGAGCTGTGAGAGAACAGCAATGCCACCCAATGGTACTGGGAGGTACTAGAATCTGAGAGAAAGATTGTACTTTGTAGTCAAACTCTGAGGTTTCTCACATTAAAAAAAAATATAGAGAAAGAAGCAAGCCTTTTGGAATGACTAATAATAATGTACTTTTTAGAACTTTTGTGATCACCAGTGCTATTTGTGAAATTTAACTTTTCCATTGTGTTAAAAGGGTGATATGCTTGCTTATAAAACTATGAAACTGATAACTTGCTTGGTGATTCCTTTCACATATGAGTTGGGTATCTCTTGACATTGTGCAGCATCACTTTCAGTCGTTCATTCATTGCTGTGTAAGGAAGAACTTCTTGTTTTAGTAATGCCACTACACACGCTGGCTTCTTCCAAATTTAATTGTTAGTGAAAGTAATGAGGTGCACTGATAAGAAGGGATCATCAGCAACAAAAGACAACATTGCTTCAGACCAATGTTTTGTTACAGCAATCTGTGGAAATATAACAATAAGCAGAACTCTATTGGGCTTATTGTCCATACAAAAGATATACAAGGCACACAGTTGGGAATACAGTGAATAATTGTCAAATTCAAGGAATCATAATACAAAATTTCGTGGAAAGAATTGGGAAAGCAGATGCAGAAAATGAAGAAAAAAGTGTAAATCTTCTCATGTGCTCTGGATTGTGCAGTTTAGCCCGATTTTTTTTCCATCTGCATATCACCAGCCAACTATATTTGGGCACAGAAAGGACCAATAGCATTTATCCAGCTACATAATCAAAAAAATACTTGGCTCTGACAGGTGCTCAGCCTGTCTCTCTCCAGTTAAAGAGAAGTCCCTGAGCTTAACTCCTCAGAGAAGACAAAGCTGGTTTTGGTTTTAACTTTGAGGTTAATTCATCCTCTTAGGGAAAGTGCAGCTATGTAGTGGTAAAAATAAGTCTTTTCTTGTTCTGTTTGTAACCTCTATATCTAGGGCATGGAGTATCTGGGTACAAAAAGATATGTTCACCGGGATCTGGCAACAAGAAATATCTTGGTAGAGAATGAGAACAGAGTTAAAATTGGTGATTTTGGATTGACGAAAGTCTTGCCACAAGACAAAGAATACTACAAAGTGAAAGAACCTGGTGAAAGTCCTATATTTTGGTAAGTCGTCTTTTGGTATGTGGAATCATGGCATGTTTTCAGTTTTTGCCATTTCAGCCAGTTCATTTTGCATGTTGTGGAATTCTTACTTGCAAGCTGCACACCAGTTTTCCAGCATTGTGAAAGTCACTTGCATGATACTTTACAAAGAAGCACCTAGGACTTTTTAACATATTTAAAAAAAAAAAAAAAAAAAAAAAAAAAAAAAAAAAAAAAAAAAAAAAAAAAAAGAAAAAAAAAAAAGAAAAAAACCCAAAACAAAAATCCCAAAAAATACTTATTTAAAGGAAATAGCATCCAATTGAAAACATTTTCAGAGATTAAGGAAGTCTAAAATGGCCTGTTTGCCTGGATGCTTTCACATTTTTAGGCATTCTAGTTCCCTAAGCACTGGTCATTCACGTCTTCCAGCTGCGATCTGTTGGATATACTCCAAGAGAAAATGCCATTCCATACATGCAATTTTAGTCTGTATTTTAAGTTTGACTCAGGCACTGTTTACCTAAAGAATAAATAATACAAAATGGCATCTTACTAGATGTTATTGGAGATGTGCAGTTTAGTTCCAAAAGTGCCTGCAACACAGTTCACTGAAAGTGATGGAAGCCTATGATTATCTTTCTTTGCAGGTCTTATCACATCAAATTCTTGTTTACTTGCATTATAAATAAGAAATGTATCTCCAACCTTATTGGAAAAAAAATCAAACGTGGTTATAGTTATCACCAACTGTGATTGTTTAAAGTGGATTTGGTTTCCAAAACCAATTGAGTAGTTAGTAGTTGAAGGTACCAACAGGAAATGAGAACATGTTAATATCAATGAATAAAGAACACTTACTCATTAAAAAGAAATCTGTCTTACTAAAACAAATGTTTTCAAAATCAAAATGGCACATGTTGCAGAGAGCAATTTTCCTTGTACTTTGTGTTGCAGGTACGCTCCAGAATCTCTGACAGAGAGCAAATTTTCGGTGGCCTCAGATGTGTGGAGCTTTGGTGTGGTCTTGTATGAACTTTTCACCTATATTGACAAAAGCAAAAGCCCACCAGCTGTAAGTATACAGTTAATGAATCTCAGAGCATTTGTTTATTTATGTTTTCTAGATTGTCATGTATCTTAACAGGTTAATGTTTTATGATCCTTTTCTGGAGATACCTTAGTGTTTATGAGACAGCATCAAGTCTGAAGCAGTAACTAAAAGGTACTGGTATCAAGCCATAAGAAAGAAGATCTAAAAATTACTTCATAGTCTGTGCATATCTTATCTTCTGGAACTCTGTAACTTCTGTTTGAAAAAGATTTTAAAATTTCTTGTTATAGGTTATTCTTTCCCAACCTTCGTGGAGAGTTGTCCCAGATGCAACCAGTCCATTGCATGACCTTTATTTTTAATGTTGTTCCAAATTTAAGGCTGACCCAAACACATACGTAGAAATTAAGTTAACTTAAATAAGGAGCTTAAGGTATTTTATATTAGCAGAACCCAAGTTAGTAAGTTAGCAGAGTTCAAGAAAGAAAAGGAGTGGCTCTTTGCAGACTGTTGACAGGTGTGTTTAAAGACAAATTTACAGTTAGTGGAGAAAGATACTGTTATCCTCCAACTGAAAATAAGATACATGATTTTATTTTCACCTAGCAGTAACCATGGGCATAACAGAGGAGAGTTCAGGCTTCTGTATTTACTGGAGCTGGCCTCTCCCTTGGCCAGACTGTCAGTCCTGTGACTGTGATTCTGAGATGCTGAATAGTGATGATGGGCAAAAATGCTCTTGGGGGATACCTCTGTACTAGCCTCTTAGTAATTCCATACAATGAGCTATCAGAGGTATCAAGGAAGAGCTCAGGGCAGCTCTTCCAGCGTAAGAACATTTATGTTGCAGACACCTAGAGTTCTTCAGAAGGGTTGTGAAATGAAGTGATGAGTAAGTTGTAGGAGCACAGGTGGAATATTCTTTCAATTAATCAATTCTACACATGCATTCTCCCCTTCATCAGGTTGGTTATCCTACTGGTATGCATCAAGAAAAGGTAATTGGGTAAATTTAACCAAAGTGGTCTGTTCAACTCTCATACTCTTTATAGTTATACATTGTTTTTAAAACCCAGCCATTTGCACATTCAACCAATGGGTGTTCGATACCTTCATGTCAAGGATCATTAAAGAAATTCTGAAGCACTGGAGGAAAAAAAAATGTCCTTTATGTTGTGCTTAGAAATTTATTTCAGTTAATAACACATCCTCATTTACTTTTGATGTCTGGCATTCTCAGTGCAGTTTTAATCTGCTTTTTGGGTTATCTAAGCCATTTTGCTGACTTTAATGATACTAATTTTTCTGCTGTGTCATTACTGATTAGTCCTGCTAAACATTTTTTATACATCAGCATGATATCCATTTTCTATTTGGTATTTTTCAAAGCATTAAGTTATTTTAATGTTCCAGAGAGCTCTTTAGAATCAGCTGTGAGTTTAATCCTTTTAAAACTAATTAATCACAGAAGCATAGAATGTTATGTGTTCCCTTTAAGGAAGGGACCTTAAAGACCATCTAGTCCCAGTTCCCCCCTGCCATGGACAGGGACACCTCCCACTAGATGAGGTTACTCAGAGCCCTGTCCAGCCCAGCCTTGAACACCCCCAGGGATGAGGCAGCCACATCTTCTCTAGGCAGTTTGTTCCAGTGTCTCATTACCCTCACAGTAAAGAATTTCTTCCTAATATGCAGCCTTTGTTTCTCCCTTTCAGTTTGTACCCATTACTCCTTGTTCTACCACTGCAGTTCCTGATTAAGGGTCCCTCTCCACCTTTGCTGCAGGCCCCCTTCAGATCCTGGAAGTTGCTGTGAAGTCTCCATGCAACTTTCTCTTCTCCAGACAGAACAGACCCAACTCCCTTAGTCTGTCCTCATAAGAAAATGCTCCAGTCCTCTTATCAACCTCATGCCCTTCCCTGGAGTTGCTCCAACAGTTCCATGTTTCTACTATGCTGGGACCCCAGAGCTGATGCAGCACTGCAGGTGGGGTCTCAGCAGAGCAGAGGGGCCCTGCTGCTTTGGATGCAGCCCAGGACACATTTGGCTTTTCTGGCTGTGAGTGCCCATGGCTGGGTTATGTGGAGTTTTGCATCAGCCATCACCCCCAAGTCCTTCTCCACAGGGCTGCTTTCCATCACGTCCCCTCCCAGCCCGCAGGTGTGTCCAGGACTGCCATGACCCATGTGCAGAACATTTTGTTTCTCCTCTCTGAACGTCATGAGGTTTGCCTGGCCCACCTCCCAAGCCTGTCCAGTCCCTCAGGATGGCATCCCTTCCTTGCAGGGTGTTGGCTGCACCACGCAGGCTGTGCTCAGTGACCGTGCTGAGGGGCACTCAGTCCCGCTGTCCACGTCACCTGCAGAGATGTTGAACAGTTTCTGCCCTCAGGGACAGCACCCTCCACTGGTCTCCCCATGGACAGCGAGCCATTGACCACAACTCTGAGCACAGTCTTCCAGCCAGTTCTTTATCCACTGAGTCCCTCAAACCCATGTCTCTCCCATTTAGAGACAAGAATGTCATGTGGAACAGTGTCAAACTTCGTATAAGTCCAGGTAGCTCCATCATAGAAAGTCACTAGATTTCTCAGGCAAAAATGTATGCCCTTAGTAAAGCCATGTTGTCTGTTTTCAGTCACTTCTTTGTTTTCCATATGCCTTAGCATGATGTGCGGGAGAATTGGCTCCATGATCTTACCTGGCAGAGGTGAGACTGACTAGCTTGTGCTTCATCGTGTCTTTCACTTTCCTCTTTTCAAAAATCTGGGTTATCTTTCCTTTTTTCCAATCATCACAAACTTCACCTTAACAACTTCATCTGCCAGCTCCCTCAGGATCTTTGAATAAATTTCATCAGGTCCTACAGACCTTCTGCACAATCAGTTTCTTTAGGTGGTTGTGAACATGAACTTCTCCTAGTGGTCTTAGGGTTTTCACTCTCTCTCTCCTTCCATTTACCTTTTTCAATTTGGGCTGTGTGCCTGGAGCACTTGCCTTTGAGGTCTTAGGCATAGAAGTAATTGAAAACCTCAGACTTCTCTTTATCCAGGCTAGTCAAATCATCAGATGATGATTAAAATTTTTTAAATTTTCACTTAGTGCTTTACATTGTGTATGTATCATTTCATTCTATTCAATATCATTATTCCATTTTACACACAAAAATCTGTAATGACTGATTTATTCTCTGGATATGTAACTTACAATTTCATCATTGTTTTGTACTATGCAATTTATTCTTATTATTCTTATAAATAATTTTTGCTTGCTAAGAATATTGCAGCATCTTTTTCTCCTCTAAAGATTATATATTACAATTGCCCTTTTGTTTCAGGAATTCATGCGCATGATTGGCAATGATAAACAAGGCCAGATGATTGTATTTCATTTGATAGAGCTTTTGAAGAATAATGGACGACTGCCGAGACCAGATGGATGCCCTGATGAGGTGAAGTACTGTGTTAAAATATTACTCTAGTGTCAAGGGTGCTCAGTTAGAGGGAGTACCTGTAATTGCAAAACTTGTATTTTGTTCTGCTCGGACCACTAAAGTATTAAATCAAGTGGAATGGCTGTGCTGTTATTTTATCAGTTCCATGATAAGTGTAATATTTTTTTTCCTGATTCTTTAGCTTGTACTGCCTCTGGAGCACAGACTGTAGTCTTGCTGGATATATGAAGTGGGACTGCTAAAACTGACTGCTGTATTTGGGCACTCACACTTCTATTTCAAAAACATACATGAATTAAGGCAACAATATTAGTATTTAGAACTTGCTCTGTATAAGTCCCAGTAGGGATTCTTATTCAAAGCTGTAACTTTGGATTCTTTTGCAATCTGTAATATTCAGCAAAAAATCTTAATGTACACCTAAAGTTTTTCACATTTAATTCCAGGATTTAATGAGCTTCATATCTTGATTATTGCCTTTCTGTTACTGTTCCCTTCTCAAGTGGGAAGGCTCATATTCATAATGTATATTATTCACCATCAAGCGTTTTCAACATACAGACTGTAGGCACAGTTAAGTATATTAATCAGATTAGAATCAATCAGATTAGAATCAGGGTCTTCAGATTTATATTCATGTTCCTTGTAGATACAAAAGTATAGCTGTAAAGCTTCCTCAGAACACGTAAATTAAGTTAGCATTCTTTTGGTTTTACTTATATACCAGATGCTTTAAAAAATACTTTCATACCACTCCTAAGCCTTGTAGTATTCTATTCTTCAGAGCAGGGTGCACAAAGCCTGGTTCAGTCAAACTGACCTGCTTGGGCTGTGTAGGTGAATCAGTAGTTAAAAAAAAAACAGAAGGAAAATAGTTATGAGTTGTTGTTTTTTACATATGTAACTGCCAGCTCAGATTAATTGCTGCATCCCTTTGAAATCAAGCACACAATAAGTCAAGAAATAATCCATTTAAAACTGGTGAAAGAAAACATCTGGGTCAAGTGGTCTAATAGAGGAGAAAGAAGGAATGGTACAAGTGAGGCAGGAAGCCACAGAGGAAGAAAAAAATTTTTAGAGTGGAAAGAGAAGTCTTTGAAGAACCTTTCTTGTACTTTATGTACCAGTATAGCAACTGTTGAATTGCAAAGGTTTGGGTTTTTGTAGATAACGTGAATGTCATATGTATAAGATGATAAATAATCTGTTTTACTGAGACTGGGTTTTAACTAACCCAAAGGTTTCAGTGTCTGACATTTCTCCAGATATCAAAGCAAGATGGAAATGTCTCTGTGTCAGAAACTGTATTCATCCCCTTTTGATCCTGGAAGGCCAGTCATCACAGATAATAAATCTTCCAGATACCTGTAGCTTACAGTAGTGTATCTTGCAGCTTACAAGCTGCTTGAGACTTAGTTCTAAAGCAGCTTGGTCAATGCAGGTGTTTCAAATCTGCTGAAAGATAAGAAACAGTTTCTATTTTTTTTCTTGGTAGCTTTACAGAGTGTTCTTAAGCAACATGTGAAAAACTGTTGAAAATATGAGAAATTGGTAATAACAATCTGGATTGAATTAATGACAAGTACAGGTGAAGCACTTGGCAAGTTGTATGAGACCTGGTGTCAGGTACATCTCTGGGCAAAAAGAAAACTGTTGCCATGTAACATAGAGTGGAAATATCTTTCAAAGCTGGTTCAGTTTGCTCAGTTTTTTTTTTTTTTGGGGTTTTTTTTTTTTTTTTTTTTTTTTTTTTTTTTTTTTTTTTTTTTTTTTTTTTTTTTTTTTTTTGCTTATTTCTAATTATATATGAAGAATAATTAAAAATCTTATATACAAATCTTATATGGAGAAGCATATGTTAACTTCGCAGGGGAAGTCTTACTTAGAATTCCTGTCTTTGTAAATCTGATTTTTGGTCATACTGGTGCTTGTCATGTAAAAGCATTTTTGAGCTTTTCAAAAAAAAAGGCAAGAAAAAAAATACAAAAACTTAACAAAATAACATAGGTCTTTTAAAAGTTTCAAAAAACAGCTGAGTGAATTTTCATGCTAACTTTTAAAAAATTGTCTTTTATAATAAGAGCTTTCGCAGAGCCACCTATCCTAGGTTCTTGTTGTCACTGGGATCAAGCAGATAAGCTGATGGGTGTAGCAAGAGTTTAGGCACACTCTTCTGCAGCTATTATTTGGAAGTGTAAAGTTAAGCTGGATGGTTTTTAGTCCAGTTTCAAGTGAATATGTATGACATCTATTTTACCTATTACCAATTTTCTTTTTTTTTTTTTCGTTTCTCCAGATTTATGCTATCATGAAAGAATGCTGGAACAATAATGTTTCCCAGCGCCCCACCTTTCGGGATCTTTCTCAGCGAGTGGATCACATAAGGGAAAACATGGGTGGATGAGAAAACTGTGCCTCCTTCAGAGGATGAGTCAGAATGCAGAACAAAATATACTTGGTCAGCTGTGTATATTTGACATATGTACATATGCACACATCTTATCCTTGCTGGAAGTAAAATCTGTGTGGCAAATACCCTATCTTAATCTTCATACTGAGGAATTCTGCTAGGGCTTTTTTATCAGGATATATTTGTTATTCTGAGAACAAGTTGAAATTCTCAATATTGAAAGAAATTATTTTTCTAAATTAAATAATGAGTTGTCATTCAGCAGCACCATTATTTGCCTTACCTTGGCAGTACAAAAAAGAGGTGACTTAAAATGTGATGAAACTAAGAGATGAAAAACCATTGTATTTCCGTTTTAAATTGGAGATGCCCAGAAAAGACTTCTAGAAATACTTTTACACCGAGTATATAGTGACTTGGCACCCTGTTTTGTGTGTTGCACAAAGACTTTTGTCTGTTAATACAGTTTCATGATTTTTTCATTGTTGATGCAGAACTGGCTTCTCTGTGTAACAAAACAGAAGTGGTTTGCTGTGCCTGTCTGAATCAGTTATCAGCCAGCAGTATATCCAAAGAGATGTAGCTGTGTGATGTACTGTAAGTACTTTGAGGGAAAGGGAGCAAATTGTGCTTTTTTGGGAGAGACAGAAAGCTTATTAACCCATGCAAAAATTTTAATTTAAAAATGAAAAAGCAAAGATGTTTTCCTTTTATTCTTACTCCTTGATGAGTATTAGAATGCCTTTATAGAGTTGAAGGTACAGTGGTAACACATAGAAGTGAAGATACATAGAAGTGAATTCATTTTACACAAGGCAATGTCTTCAGTGTAAATAAGAAAAAGCTAAGTCAGTATACTTAGCTTTTCCTTTTAAATGCTCTTCTTTTTTTCTTTCCATCCTTGTAGTTTTCATGCAGTCATAAATGAAAGAATTGAAACTTTCAAAGCAGGCTTAAAAATGTAGAAAATTCCCTCACTTTCACAATTCCTCACTTTGCTGTTAAGATGATCATCTTAATATCTTCCTTCCAGCACAGAACTCAGTATCTGATATGGCCAGTCACAACCACATCAAGCCTGTTCTGTATTGAAGTGGCCCAAGCGTATTTATTTCTGTCGTAATACTCAACATGAGACTGGAAGGAGGAGTTACAAGTGCAATTGCTCCACACTCAGCGGAGGGCAAGGACATGATTCCAGTTACTGAGAACTGGAAGGAGAGCAGAGCTACCTGAATGCTGTATAATTCAGCTTTTGAAATAAATAACAAAAATCTTTTGGACAAGAGAATGCTTCGGTTTTGCCTTGAGGCATAAAACTTGGGGATAATCTCATCTCTCAAAGCAGTATAATTGCAGGGTTTGTTTATTTTTAGTTCAAATAATCTTGTTTGTTTGTTTTTACTTAAGCATTATTGTCTGCAAAGTGTAGTGCTTGTTCTTTTTGGACTTCTGCTGAGAGAAGTTCAGTTAAGGGGATATACAGCTTGGCAAACTGACCTGACATCCAGAATTTTATTTTAAATTAAATGTTCTTTTTTAAAATTTGTGGCAGTGGGTGAAACAGGTTACTTTCATTGTGGAGCCTCCTTAATATTTGTGGTTAACTACATCCATCTTACCAGAAAAAAAAAATCCTTATTTAGTGTAATATAGTGCCAGTATAGCAGTATTTTGTACCACTATGATGTTTCTCTCCCACAATCACTCCTACAAAATTACTGTTTTATAGTACAAGAGAGTGCTAAATATGGAGAGCAGCATCAGCCTTCTCTCTGCCCATTGCATTTAAAACTTTCTGTAAGTGTTCTTGCCACCAAGCATTTGCATAGATGATTTTTCAAACCAGTTTCACAGTCAGTTTTTAAGCTGCAAAGAACTTTGAAGTGCTTTGTTCAACTTAACATGTTTTCTCAATTTCTATACATTGCTTTGAGGATTTGAAATGTTGTGCAAAAAAATCTCTTTGCATTTGTAGTCTCAGTTATGTGTATGTGCTTTTTTTGTAACAAAGGAAATAAAGCTTTAAGGTATCAAGACAGCATTTTAGCTGAATAACATATGCAGGAATTACATAACATTTGCAGTGTATAACACTCAGTAGCTCACTGGTTTCAAATACACAGTAGACTAAACATAATTTATGTAAAAATCTCAGGGAAGTTTGTGTAATGCAATGAAGAAATCTTCCAGTCTGCTAATTTTTCAAGTGAATTAAAGGTCTTTTTCTTGTTCTACTACATTTTGATTAATTACATAGTCTGTTTAATTGCATAAATGTAGTGGTTGATGGATGATTTTTAAGTGTCTTGAGTGTCTTGTGGAGTGTTTTTGTTTATTTTGGGATTGTTTGTTTTGTTTTTTTTTTTTTTACTTTGATATTATGTCATTTTTAGAGAAAGCCATATCTTTACACTGCAGTGTAATCGTGTGGTGTTGGTCAGACAGTCTTTTTTAACAACCAGAGGCCTGTGCAGAGGGCTTGAGCATTTGGGATTAGTGTTCTTAGCTGGGAGAATAGGACCAAGTAGTGCTTAGGACTTGGGAGAGGTTTAGTGATCTGCAGTGTCAATATTTAGGTCCTGGAGCAGACCTGGTGGCTTTCTCAAAAAGCTGTTGAGGATATAAATGTAGTGATTTTGCTGAATTTGCTACTGCCAATTGTGTGACCTTTAAAAAAAAACCAAAACCACAACACCGCCAAAAAACACTGTATTTTGTATTTTGAAAGCTCTCAGATCTACAGTAGCATTGATAATGTCATATTTTTACATTGTGTTTGTATTAATAGACTAAGTACTTGGTTTTAGAAAATGTCTTCAGTTGGCATTGCATTTGTAATACTTTAGTGTAATCATTGCGCTACCCAAAATGCTGTTTGATTTTGTTGATAGAAAAAGTGTTGGTTTATGTATACATGACTGCTACTTCAGTGTAGAATTAATATATTAACTACTGCTTTGCACTTACATTGGAAGTGAAAGAATTTTTTAATAAGTGCACAATGTATCTTATAGAGTCTCTGCAATCAAGTATTTTGTGTTGTGTAGTATTGGTTTGTTGCCTATCAGTATAAATATGTTAAGTTTCAAAGTTAGGTTTTTAAGTGTATTCCACAGAGTATTCCACAAACTTGCAACAGTCATGTTGCATAAGCCAGAGGAGAAATTAATTTTCAGGAAAAGAAACACATGTTCTTGTCAAGTCCTAATACTGGTTAAAAGCTTCCATAGTTGAGATAATTGTTGTTAAACGTGCTGATGAATACAACTGTGAAAATATATGTAAGAATTATATTTTCCCCCCAAAATTAAATTTTTAATTGTTGCATTTAGTTGAGATGTTGACCAGCTGCCCTGAAATGTGTAGGAGAAGATGTTACTGCATTAAGTATGAAGAAATGTAACCCTTGTGTAAAGAAAGCAAGCTTTGCAGCAATGTAGGATCACAAACACCCAGAGGTTAGAGTTCTGAGAGCAAAAGTAGAGGTGTAGAAGAACAAGACTAAAGGAAAAAGCATGATGTTCAGCACGGGAGAATCTTTCTGAAATGTGAAATGCACAACAAATTATGAAAAATTGATGTCTACTGAAAATACCATACCATGACAAATATGTGCTAATATATTTCTAAACTGTGTATTGTCTGCCTTAAGTCTGAAATATTCACAGACACCTAACCTGTTATTGAAAAAATTTCAATAATTACTATACCAAAAGAAACTACTAAATGTTGTGCCATGCCAGACAACAATTCTGAAAAGGTGTTTGACTAAGAAGTTTTGTTCTGAATTTTTCTTTTTGAATAAGAGGTTTACAGTACTTTATATTAAAGTAGAAAAAGTCCCTTTGTGATAAGGAGCAGGGAGGGAAAGATACCTGCCACTTATGATTGAAATGTAAACATTTAAACACATGGTTTAGTAAAGAGAATGAGAAAGGGATATTTTTAGAAAACTGTGTATCCATACCTGAAACTTAACTGTGTGTTTCTTTTTGCATTTGGATAGTGAAAATAAACTGAATACAATGGATGATACATGCCTACCAACATTTTCTTTTGTACACTAAAATTGATTAGTGTTATTTAAATCACTGTTGAAGGCAGCTGTTCCACTTGATGAGGTAGAACACAGCACATAAAACTTTCTGACTTTCCTAGAATAGCCATATTAAGCATTTATTCTTTGGAAGAAACTTAGGTGTACCAAAGTAAAGGTGTTAACTAAACAATAAGACTGAGAGCTTTTAATCTCTTTTTTTAATTAAGGTTTTCACTAAGCAAATTAATTTGATATGAAGAAACACTTCCTTTCATTCTCATCAAGAGGTGCAAGTCTGTTATTCTGGTCTTCAAAAATTAGGGAAATTACTTCCTATGTTTAGGAACAGTCAAAACATTTGCTATCAAAACATTCTTTTATACAGGCAATGTCTTTGGCCGACATTGCTGGCACACAAGTGAATAGAGTGAAGGGACCCTTATGGCAGGTCCTTTTTTTTGAAGACTGAAGTCAAGCTTAAATTCAACCTTAAATGTTACTTGGGAGCTTTTCAGAGATACTTCCAGAGGTAAGAATCTGCATAAGCTTTTGTGTAAGTGCCACACTTCCAGTGTGAAAGCTGCTGTTTGCAGGCTAGATGTTAAGGTTGGTTAACCTTTTTACTTTAGAGATCAGTATTTTTGAGAAGCTGCCAGTCCTAAAAGTGACCTGATAGTTTGAAAAGGCCATCAATATGACCAGCTCTAGCTCAGGAAACACATCCAACATCTACATTTCATAGTGCTTTTTTCAACTGCTCTTGATGGAATTGTTTAGCTTATTATTAGTTCATTGTTCTTGTTAGGTAAATTCAATAATAGACTTACTATTGCTAAGTGAAGTTCTTGTAGGGGAGAAATTACTGCAATTTTAGCTGTATTGCAATGCCCTTAAGCTAGATACTGAGATAAATTTAACTATTTAAAATAATTTATTTGTTAATATTCAATTTCTTAATTAAGTCTTCTAAAAGTTATGTAAAAATTGTTCTATATGATAGAAAAACCAACGTTAAAATGAGTTGTCTAGGTTCAGTGAAAGAGTAGACAAGATTATAGTGTCAAAGTGAAATCACTAATACAATGACATTTGTAGGACACTTACACTCTTTTTAAGAAGTCAGTGTTATGATTCAGCTGTATGACAGAGGAGGTGAAACAAAATTATAATTTTCTTTCCCTGTGCACCATTCAACAAGATATCACCCAGATAAAATTGATTGTATATATTTAAAATATTTGTACTGATCAGACAGATACTTTGAACTTAAACAGGAATTTTTTGCTGTTCTTGTTTGGGTAGTCTGATTTACAGCAGTTCTGATACAACTCTGCAATAGTATGGCTTTTTCTCCTGACATGTTTAATCTAGCTTTTGGTTCTCCTCACATTTCCATTTCTTCTGAGTCTTTTACCAGGTGGCAGGTACCTTTATTGAAGTCATCTAACACAACTGTAATCTTATTATTGTCCCTTATTACAATGAAACAAATTGATCTCCACAGGTACAGTAGTTCAAAACCCAAGATTGCCTGAAACTTTTAAGTATTCTGTTCTGGCATTTGTTACACATGCAGAACATTTTTGATATCTTCCTCTCTGTTCAGTCATTCAATTTGAAGATCTTAAAATACAGACAATATAAGAAAATTGAATAAAATGGTGTTTGAGGGACATCCATTTGTTGGACCCTGGCTGTTATTTATTGGACACTGCTCATTACTAGACAGCACTGTCAGGGAGGAGGAGGAAAGCAGATGAGAAGGCACTGTGGCCACTCAGACTGCACATGGTATGAAACCAGATGGTAGCAAAGACAAGCAACTGGGATCCCTGTCACAGAATTTGGGCAATGACAAGGAGATTTGGAAGAGGACAGAAACTCTCAGCCTCTGGAGGTGATTTCTGTCAAATGGGAGGGAAAGATGCTCTTTCAAGGAAGACCTAATACACAAAAGGGTGTTCACCACTGTGAACAAGAAAAACCATTTCACGGAGCTAGTGCCCAAAAGCAGTAAGATGCAGAAAGCTCCCATAGCTTTATGTCTCCTCCTTCCACCAGTCTGAAAACTGAAAACAACTAAGAGCTGGAACAAAACAAACTTGGAAGATAGCTCATCCATGTTGCATGTCTCATTTATTTTTTTCTCTTTGGTTTCTTTTTTTTTTTTTTTTTTTTGGTTTTTTTGGGTTTTTTTTTGGCTGCTGNTTTTTTTTGTTTGTTTTGTTTTGTTTTGTTTTGTTTTGTTTTTGGTTTTTTTGGGTTTTTTTTTGGCTGCTGAACTCAGCTGTGCTTGGTGCTGTTCCCCAGGCCTGGCTTGGTCCCATGTGGTTAATTCCAGCACCAGTGGGGCTTGGCTTGGCTCAGCTAGAGCTTTGGGCCCTGCACAGCTGCTTCCACTCTGCCAGAGCCAGGGTGTTCACTCCACTGGGCTCAAAAGAACAGTGAAGGGACTGGGGTGATGGAGCAGGGCTGATTCCACCAGGCTGATCCTGACACCTTCTTGGCTAGGGAGAGCCAAGGTAGCACACTTCCCCTTCTTCCTGATTCTTGTTTTTTTCTGCTGAAACCGTATCCCCGTTGATATGCGTGTGTTATGCAGTAAACCATGTCATCACACCCACACAGCACTGAAAGCTCCATCCCCTTTTCCTGTAGCCAGGACACTGTGAAATGTGTGCTGCAGCCCAGCAGATCAAGCAGGTAAACCCCTGTGGTATGGTGGATGATAGTCAAAAGAAAATTATGGGGGGGTGAGGGGGGGGTCTGGCAGATCCATCACATTGCACTCACCCAAACCTGCCAAGGCAAGCACTATGTGCTTACAAATAGCAGCACCACTGGATGGCTGGAGTGGTACCCTGTGCCTCAGGCCACTGTGGCATGCCCCTGTTCCTAACAGACAGGAATTTGCCCCTTCTTGCATTGCTAGTAACTCTTCCCTTGACCCGAACCCTAACTCCACCCCTGCAATACCCTATAAAAACCCCACAACCCTGCTTTTGCCTGGGCTTTTCCTCTCCGTCCCGTCCCTCCTCCCTGGGAGTAATAAATGGATTCTCAAAGATCTGTCCTGTTTGTTCTCGTGCCCAGCACTGGCAGCTGCACCCCTCTGTGGACATGATGAACCCAGTTGCAAGACACTGCAGACAAGTTCTGACTGACTGCTAGACAACTGGAACAATACAGAACACTGTCCCTTTTCCTATGGCCGGTTCAATTTCTGAGTCTTCTAATTTAGATACACAGAGATGAACACACAGTTCACTCTCATGCAGCACTCAGAGTGGAAGAAACCCAAGAGAACTAGAACTGAGAGATTTAAGAAGAATGTTGGGAATGCAGGAAATCTAACAATGTGAAAAGAACCAGAATTTTCTCTGCAATCGAAGTACAGCCATACTGCTACAAACCTTAAGAGGTTCTGAAAACGTTCCTTGCTGTTCAAGTAAATTGGCCCACACTGTTCCTTGAATCGGGGCTGGAAGGATCTGTGGGATGCAGATGCCTCAAACCAGGAAGACACCCTAGCTGTCCACAGTCCATTATGGAGCACGCCAGCTGCTCATGTTACTGAGGAGTTCCAAGGCCAACAGCTACCATGTGTCAGCAGGACAGGAATTTTGACTTGCCTTTTGAAATAAAGGTATGTCTCTCAAAAGCTCTACACAGAGGGCACAAGGCTGCTGTGGTCAGCATGGCGCTGCATGGGAGCCCTCAGCCCACTGCTGTGATGTCAAATGAAAAAAGGTCAGGAGGAAAAACTGTATTGCTACATGGGAAACAGCTCATCTCTTGGTGCAGGGACAATAAGATGCAAGACTACACTGACAGAGAAGCATTCCAAAAGTGGCCTTTGGTGTCAGGACTAGCTGCTGCTGAGCTCAATGACTTCTGCAGTAGCAGAAGCATATGGTCACAGGCAAACTACACTGGGTGGCTGACACAGGAAAAACCGTCAATAAATTAAGCACTGAGTGCTTAACTAATAATGAATAAATTAAGCACCAGGAGTGCTGAAACCTACTGGATCCTCTGATTCTGATATTGCACTTTGCTTTCGGCTTGTTTGGACAAAACAGGTCCTGTTGAGGCATTCCTGAGTGCCAGAAAGGATGCATCACTTGCTGGCTGAGATCTCACAGAAACTGGAAAGACCTGCAGAGTCTCAGGTCAAACACTACAGTCCAGGAAAGGTAATTCAGACAAGGCATCATGTCTGACTGTGGGCTGTTTGGCTGGCCTATTTTTGAAGGGCAGTACCCAAGCGTTTTCAAAGCACAAAGGTTGACAGGCGGGTTTTAATTGTCATCTAACTTTCTGTACATGAGAGATATACTACATCACTCATATGTGTTAACCATTCTGTGCTCTTGAGAAATCATCGAGATATATCACTCTAAGGTTAAAACATGATAATCAACTGCACTTGAGGAACATGCAGAAATTCAAATCTAGTGTGGAAAACTTCCAGGAAAAACTTAGGTAGCAGAAAAAACTTAGATGAAGGAAAAGAATCTGATGCACAAGCTGGAGAATTTGGTTTCCTTCCCATTAGTTCTGGTTCTCTAGACTATGCAGGTCAGAAAACAGTATGGAACAAGCACACTGTTACAGTGCAGTATCTAATATCAAGCTCTCACCACAAAAGCAGGTGGCACAAAGAAATTTAACAGTCAAGTATGTCTGTCGGAACTAAAATCCAGGGTAAGGAGCCAAAAGCTCAGGTGTTTGTCCCCAAGTTACATGAAAGCTGTGTGATTAATAGAATTCATTCAATGTGTGGTGGGAATGTGGCATCAATTAGTAAAGGACCCTCTTTGAGCTAATTGCTTATACAGGTGAGTGACTTCAGAGCAGGAGGTGGGATACAAATCTACCCAGGTTCCATTTGCTGAGAAGGAAAGGAGCTGCAATTTTCTACAGTCATTTCTCTACTGCCAGCTGAGTAGGAAGCATGGTAGTCTCAGGAACTCTCCCTAATACTCAGAGTGCT